TCGTGATTAGTTCAGCTCTAGAAGAAGGTTCCAATTATGTTTGTTATTCTGAATGTGAAGAACGGTTAAGTACTGCAAGCTGCCCTATTCATCGTCTTATTCATTATTGCCTCATAAGATATTCATTTATTCCTCTTATAATTGTGCTGTCTGCAGACAAGCATACAGTTCAATAACTTTCCAATAATAACCCAAGTTTCATTATTTCCGCTAATGATTTCTTTCCCAGGAAATGTACTTGGCGATTAAGAGTAACATTATCATGATATTCTTATACAGATGTCTTCAGCATTGGTACCGACGCTGAGGTTAAACAATCTATTAAGTTGTTGCAGAGCCGATAAGCTGTAGAGGCGAATGCGAAGTGCGCCATCCATGCACGCCAATAAACAATATGCATTTATTTTTTTTAAAGGTAAGCTGCCATGACGATCATCTTTAAAATCCCCCCCCCCCCATTATTCTCGCCCTCCTCAGTCTGCACGACGCGTGGTGGGGAGCCAAGGCTGAGTGCAGCTCAAGCCAGCCGCTGGGAACAGAACCTGACCCCCCTCTGCTTGTTCTGTCATCTGATAAGAGCCGGTGTTTTGATAGCGGCGGCCCTCTCAACGGGATCCATGGCTCTCCTTTTACACCCGCATAGCAAACAGGGCTGTCTAAACAACAGTTTACGGCCAGGACAAGGCCTGGTCAACCGTCATCAAAGATCTGCTCTGGGATGAGCCATTAGGCGTGGACCAGATGTTAGAAGAAGCTGTGGCCGTGATGGCCGACGGAGTTCTTTCATTAAGCTCATCAATGAACTGGTGAAAAGATGAATTTGTGTATTTGAAGCTTCATTTAAGTTGAGGATTCTCCAGTCTTGGAATAAAAATAAATGTCCACCGTCCCTCCTCGTCGGCCTTTACCATTGACCGGCGTTCAACCCCTGCAGGTGACAGCTTTACGGTATGAAATAGAACTCATTGTTGCCTTATTCAATATGGCTTCGCTGAATAAGTCCATAAATGCATTAGGGTCCCGTGTCCCTCCCCGTTGTCCCAACTATGGTGAACTGGCGTTCAACCCCTGGCGGCGCTGTAAAATGCAGAGCGGGTTCACTGACAGGCCTTCCGTTTTATTGCACAGTCATGAACGGCGTTGTAAACTGTCACTCGTCCTTCACTTTCATTCACTTATTGTGTGGGAGCAAACGGCTGTGAGAGATGACCCTTCCTGCTCGCCGGTCGCGTTAGCAACCAACCGCCCGCGTTTCTCACGTTCTGCGGGACGTTTTTTTAGAAGGTGGAGTTTGTGGCCGAGGTGCCCAACAAGTGAGCGCATCCGTTTTTAAAGATCTTTACGTTCACAAAAGGAGAAAGTTCTCTGGCGGGAGATTGTACAAACTTGTCTTTTTAGAATCACCACTTCAACTCAAACACAAGCCACTGTCCAATTTAATTCTTTTTTTTTACAGCCGTGTCTAAAAAGCGTCATCGTTTTGAGCTGAGCTAAAAGCAATTTCTTGATTGGTCGATCGATGAAAATCGAAATGCCAAACTTCCAGCTTCTTAAATGAGAATATTGGCGAGTAAGCTGACCTTTGGATAGACATAAAAGAACAATTGGATGATCTCCTTGGGGAAAAGATAACTATAGTGGGCAATGTTTTACTATTTTGTGACCTTTTAGAGGCAACATAATAAACACATTTGTCAAGAAAATAATCATCCATGAAAGTTTTATTTGCAGCGCTGTTCTAAAAAATAAATGTTAGGCCTTGGGCCTCCATGCAATTGCCACTTAATTAAGAAAAAGAAGAGCACTGTTGTATGAAAGTCGAGTCAAGTGCTCATCCGTGAGTCGGTTACTTTTAACAAGCCTTGTTTTGCATCATTTCTCTGTTTGGTCAACCTGCGCCGTTAAACCATCCGGCCTTTGTCCGCCGCTGGGATTTAGTTTAAGGTTAAATGCCTTGCCCTTAAACCCATCCGCCGGGCCGGAGTGTGTGGCAAGGTCACCACCCCCGTCGGCCCACAAAGGCCGCTTGTCCCGCCGATGAATTAGCGCTACTGTTCCTCGGCGGGTCCCCGCGCGGCCCCTCAGCAACTTGCGGAGCCCCGCCGCCCTTTCACACGCACCCCCTTTCCTCTAATTTTTAAATGACTTTTATAACTGGACAGTAAACTAGCGGCGGCTTAATGATGATGACTTCTTCATCTGCCCAAATGCTCCTTTTGTCCGCCTCTCCTCGGGCCCTGTACCCTGCCCCCCCCCCCGTCCCCTCTGGTCACACCGAGCCTTAAAACCTGGTTCACCCCACTTTATAGTTCCTCAAATAATCCCCTAGACAAAACACACACACACACACACACACGCGCACGCTCTAGCTATTATCTCCCCTGAGCCCTGGTCTGTCTCCTTCTCCTTGTCGCTGCCGACTTCAGCAATGGGATTTAGCGGGAATGTTTGGCCTTTGTTTGCGTGGGCCGCCGGAAAGCCACGAATGACCTTTTAGCTCATCTGCTGTCCTCAACAGCGCCGATTTACACATCAGGGCCCAGCAGGTAGTCCCAGAGAAGCCGGGCAGGAGGGGGGGGGGTGGAGAAAGTTGTGGAGGCTTTTATTACTGCCACCCGCGAGTCCCCACGCCTTCGGCGTCGGGCGTTGCACGTCGAGCAGGTAGGAGAGGGGATGCCGTTGCGGGAATTTTCACATGGGTGGAATTTTTGTTTTTCTTGTTTTGTTTTTAGTCAGACGTGCCAATAAGCACCTCGGTTTTTTTTTTTTGGGAGCTTCCTCCCCGCCTGACACTGTCCCTCAGGAGACTCCTTATGCGCTTCAGCGTCAGGCCGGTAGGATGCTGAGTCAGCTCACTAATATCTGTGGTGCTCCTGACAGAGGAGGAACCCTTCTCCCTTTTTCACATTTAAGAGCGTCAACCCCCCCCCACAGCTGATCATGTGATTCGTCTTTCCTCAGGTGGCGGTGGCAGGGTTACTTCCCCTTTGTCAGAGACTTTAGCAGGAGCTCAATGCAGCGGTGAAGGATGGGCCCTGGGGGGGGGCGGCCACGCATTCAGTCCGCTCCCTTTTGTTTTTCCGCCCTGTGTCTTTGGAGGCCAAACAGAATGCCGGGGTTTACTCATTATCTCCGTTCCAAATGGGCTGTTTGAGACGGCCCACGTCAAAGTCAGGGGCTGAGACGTCCGTCACCCCCGACAGCTCTTTTCCCCCCGTTGAACTTGTGGCTGCGCCGCTATCAGATGGGTCCCTGTGAAGAGAGGCTGGGCTCTTGTCGTTAATTTACAGTATCGCTCGCAGTGAAAAAATAACGTCACATGATCGCAGAGGCCCAGTTTGGGACTCAGCCGAGCCTCCCCCCGCCCCCCCCACGTGCGGCCTAAATCTGCAGCCGCCGGACACATTTCACAGTCAAACTCAAGCCCAATGTTTGGACAAATGTGGCTGATTGAGGGGAAACGAAGGGCCCTAAAGGACTAATGGAGGCCCTGATTGGCTCGCGTGGTGGTTTACGGCGGCCGTCACGCTGACTGGGCCTTAATATAACCATTGGAGAGGAGGTGAGAAGAGCTGCACACGACTGGATTAACACAACGGTTGAGCTGTTGTGTGTCCGTGGCAATGAACCGGAACACCAGTCGCTCTGCTCAGCGAGGCGAGCATTTATACCGTGATCATTTAAAACGTAATCATTTATGACAACAGAAATGTAACCGGAATTTATTCTAATGCGAGTCACTCTGTGCTATTGCTCCACCACCATTAATCTCTATTATTATGTTGTGTTATAAGTAGGCGGTGTTCTGTTAAGGGTAACACAAAAACACGGTTGCTAAAAAAAATAATATGTTTGAATATTCTTTCCACTTCTCTCAATAAAAGCAATCGGTTCACTTGAGGGAAAACATGGGGTTGGAAAGTAAGAAACGCTGTGCGACGTCGGAGGGTGAGTGCATCCTCCCTGTCGCCGAGTAGACGCGAGTTTGCTCAAACCTACTATTTACCTGACAAATTCTCGCCGTTATTCGGTCAGAAGAAAAGCGGGCGCGGGAGTCTTAAGTCAACGACTTTACATGAAGCCTCAATCCGTTGTTGAGTTGAGTCTGCTGCATAACGTCAGCGACCTTGAATAGGAAACGATGAAGCTATTAAAGTTTACCAGTAGATAACAGATTGCAAATCTTTGATATAGTTTAAAGGGAAGAGCGACTCCGGTGGTCTCGTCGTTTCTCCGGTGTTGCAGATGTACACGTTTGCGCTTTTAACTTCCCCCACGTTACAACACACCCGCACCTCTCTATTGAGCGATACCCGGGTAAGGCACTGACACGGCTCACTAGGCCTTTAATGGCACAGAGTCCCGGACATCTGCCACCGCCGCTTAATTTGCGGTGCATTTCCGTTTATTTATTTTGACCAGATGAGCCCCTGGTATTTATAGCGGGAGTAAAAGCCCCGAGTGGGGTCAATCCCGGGCGAGGCCGCGAAGACAAAATGCTCAAGCTGCCCCAACATTCTTGTGCCCATTTTGCTGGGGACGGATTCTCCCGTCTGCTGAAACGGCCCCCCAATAAAAATAAAAGTTGGGCGTGCCGGCCGGCCAACAGGGGCCTGGAAGCGAGCGTGAGAGCGAAAGCTGGATTTCAAGATTCTCTCTCCATAAAAACCACCTGACGCGGTGTCGGTGTCTCGGCGTGGCGGGGGTCACGCGTGGCAGGGCGCCGGCGCTGTGTGGCAGCGGGGAAATGCGGGACCTTCTTCTTTTGTTCCCCCCTCCGCTGCCCCACAGCTCCGCAGGCCTCCAAGAGCATCTGTCACCACGGGGGGTCAGCAGGGCCAAGATGAATGAGCCGCCCCCCCCCCCCCCCCACCCTCTCCTTAGCAAATGGCACAGGACAGAGGAGGGCGTAGGGGACTAGGGGGAGGGGTCTGTGTGTGTGCGTGTGTTTGTTTGCATGCAAGTGAGAGAGAGAGAGAGAGAGAGAGGGGGAGAGAGAGGGAAGGTTTTCTCTCTTCTGAGGGAACGAGTCAGATTCCCATTTCAAGAGTGTCATGACAAAGGTGACTGGAGGCCCACCAGAGAAGAGTGAATCTCCATATGCCGCCGGGAGATTCACAAATTCTTTCCCGCGGGATTTATTTTCTAGAATGGACTATTTCTAACAAAAAAAGAAAAGGAAGAAGAAGAAAAAGAAGCCGCCTTTTTGCGTTTGGGATTTTACAGCGCTTGGTTTGGACCTCGAGGGCTCCTCAGCTGGTCGAGTGCTCATGGAAGGTACAGAAGGAGCCTGAATGCGGTGGGTCACATGCGGCCCTGATGTGGCATTAATGAGATGAGCTTTTAGCACCTCATTCAGAGCGCTTGAGGAGATGTTTGTCTTTTTTTTTTTTGCCCCCATCCCCCATTTCTCTACTGCCTGATGGGCTGCTGTCTTTCCACCACAGCTTTTCTAATGTTAACTCAATGCCGAGATCTTTCCCCGCATTTCAGCTGTTGGTATCAGCTGGAAATGCTAATTCGCAACAATGAGGTGTAAGCAACTTGGAGATTTATCAAATTTGTAATTACATTTTATTTGAGTTTATTTAGTCAATAGGTGAATTCCCTTACTTTACAGTAGCAGTTTAAAGAGCACAAACAAAGTGTCAATAACATCAGTTGAAACAGTTTAAAAATATTTTGACCTTTTTATTTGTCACATTTTTAAACAGTAGGATTTCTTAACGTTGATTTACAAATGGGTTTTCTTTGAGTGGAAGGATCTGCTGAGTCAGAATGTGATCAAACCAGTTCAAGAGGGAAACGAGGTTTAGTCCCTCTTTCCTTCTATTGTGGACACTAACTTAATTAAGCAGAAACAAAAGAAGGCCTGCAGAGCGAGAAAAGGCAAAGTTAAAAGTAAGCGCAATTGGATCATTAGGTATCTAAAATAAAATGTCTTTGGAACAAATGCCTGTTGTGAGGTTTAATTTACAATTTGTGGTTGACTTTACTGAAGCCCAAAATGGGACCACTTACCAAAAGCATTCAAACTAACAAAAGTGTAAATAATAATGTTAGATTATTCAAGTGCTTTTATTCTTGCATGAGTGATACTGTCAATTTTTTAATTCCGATTTTTAAGTAAAAAATCTATGTTCTTACAGCAACATTCACAACAGTGGTCAATTTTTTCTCCAGTTCTTCTTTGATTGATTTATGAATTTAACCCGTCACTTTTAATTACAACGAGCAATCGTATTTTCACACGTTGCACAAATGGCTGTTGATCATTTACGATATTCCCAAAGTTGCATTTATTTTTTTATTTTTTTAAGTTTAAAGATATTAGGTGAGGTAAACAGTGTGTCTTAACTCTGAGCAGAATGTTACACACACACACACACACATGACTGTGGGATTCACACACGCATTGTGTGTGTGTGTGTGTGTGTGTGTGTGTGTGTGTGTGTGTGTGTGTGTGTGTGTGTGTGTGTGTGTGTGTGTTTTACCTTGAATCTGGCTGTAAGTAAGACACTTAACCAGCTAAACATTCCCTCAAACGTTGTTACTGGAATCGCACAACCCGATTAATCACCTCGGGCCGGCTGGCGTTGGTGTCTAGATTTACAGCTCCTTCATCTTCATCTCGGCAGCCATCTGCGTCTCCTTCTGTGTCGTCTACTCTTCACCGATTTAGATAAGCATCAAAATATTTCAAGACTGCATCCTGGGTAATTGGCGTAATTAGTCGGGTGAAGCCTGGACTCGTGTTGTGGCACTTTAGCCGGTAAAGTGTGTTGTTTTTTTTATGATCAATGCCACATTCAATTCTGGAATAATTGTCTTCTAATGTAAACTTATATTTAAATGTTCCTGTTAAAATAGGCTGTAAACTGGTCGCTTAAAAAATACCATATTTCTGTTTTTTTCTTTTTCTTTTTTCTTTTTTTTTTCTCATGTTTTCATTCCAACAAAGTTGTCGCGGCTTCATTTTTAATTTGAGCTTTTGGCCCCTTTTGTTTTTGAAAACTGCTTCAGAGCAACACGGGGAGAAAGACGTCTGCAATCAAAAGCTAATGCTGAGTTTGGAAAGAAAAGAGCGATTCTAAATGGCCGGGTTAGTTGAATCATAACGGATCACCAAGCTCCGGTTTAGGTCACTTAAAAAGGAAAATTTCAGTAAGTGAAGTCTGACATATTGACATTTTTAACCCTTTACCTTGATTAGCTGGCAAATCATTCACAAAATGAGCTGCATTGTGATCAGTAAATGCAAGTTGAACCACCTTACGTACCCTTGTCAGTTGAAGGACTTGGAACCCGGACCAACATCCCTCTTTCAGAGCGGCGCCACGCGGTCAGAAGTGATGACCGGGTAGATTGTAACAGTGTTTAGAATGGAGCTTTGCTTGTGTAATATCGCGGCCCGGGTTTGCCAAAAAACATGTAAAGGGGTCAAAGTAACCGGCAAATCTATTGAGAGTAGAGTGACTGTGTGTAGTGAGTGTGGCTACAACCTGAAACAGCCTGTTGTGGTGTTATGAAAATAGCAGCGGCCTTTTACATGTGTCATGGCTGCCACAAGTGCACCTTCATGGTGTTTTTTAATCTCTTTAGTGACCTTTAGTACCAGACTTTTTGTAGAATTCATGTTTTGGAAAAACAGTGGGTGCATTTAGCTTACCAGCCAATGGAAAGAGATTTTATTTTTATTTGATCTGCCTTTTAAAAGGTTGAAATACCTGAATGAATTTGAGATTTCCTGAGATTAACTGCAGCGATTTCCTTTATCCTGATGTAAAATTCCTGGAATAAAAAATACAATAGGGGAAAGGGAAAGACTTTATGCTTCTGATATTCATTTTTCTCTTTGGAAAGGTCCTGTAAAGCGAATCAAAAACGGAATTACTTGATGCAACTTAGTTTTTGGGCATTTTCTTTTACCTTAAAATTGTTTGTTCAACTTTTGGTCACGTTGAGTTCAACACGATTCACACGTTGCATTATCCATACACAACCCCACAGCGTGTCTTTCACGGAACACAAAATGCCAGTGATTCCTTGCATGCTTGACAAGGATACTTTTGTAAACTGATTGGATCCCTCCCTGCTCTCCCCCAGGTCTCCAAGCCCTGAGTGAAATGCCTCACTGAGAGTTCTTCCTCTGAGTGGTAGAGATCCAGCATGTAGAGGAAAACAAGTCCCTTCACGCCTGGGAACCGTCCGACATCGTAAGTCACCCTTTTTAAAAAAAAATTGTATTCTTTAAAATGAATTTCAGATGGATACATTATCTCCGTCCTCCCGGATCTTCCAAGTGAAGATTTGACCTCCCGGAGGGTCACATTCATGCAATCTGTCGATGCCACCCAGAAGCCGGCGATCGGCCTTGAACCATCTGACCAGCTCGCAGGCAGCTTTTTGGCAAAAGACGTCTCTGTTCAAGCCACTGAACCGCTTCTCCCCAGTTGAGTCCACTCATTATGTCCGACCATCGATCAAGCCGCCGACTCACCTGAAATGCCCCCCAAATCCCCCCCCTCCTCCCCCCCCGTCATTACGAGTGACCTCCGCAACAAACTGATTCACACCCCCAAAAAAAAAAACCATCCGTTAGGTGACCTCTGCGCTTTGTTTTGAGTTGCGCAGGTGACAAAAGGTCATTTTCTGTGTTCACCTCCGGCCCCCGAGAGGTTAATGACGAATCTGAGGACCAGCCGGCCTGTGAGGCCTCCGGAGCCTCTTTTGACTTCACAGTCGAACAGGCAGCGGCCGCGTAAAAACACCCTCGGGCACTCGTTTCTTTTCTCATTTTTCTTGACCCCCCCCCTGTGGTGCCACCTTCCTCCATCAGTTAAGCGAGTAATACTGTAGCTTCGTTCGCTTAAGCTGCTTATCTCTTTGACAGAACAGTCAGGCACTGTTAATCTTGTCTTTTGTCCGGGCTGGCCAGATACCTCCCCAGGAAGGTCGTTAGGTAAACACGGGGTCTGGATCCTGTCCAGGCGTGGGCAGAGCGAGACGTGGGAGGAGGGAGCCAGCTCCGACCTCATTCCCACCCTGCCCACTATTGACTAAGTGAAACGGTTCAGGGTTCCTGTGAGGCCAAAAGACACCGTGTTCTTAGTAATATTGATTGAGTGACATATTCCGTGTGTGCCGCAGGTGAACAAACAAACTTCCCAAAGAAAAAGAAAAAAAAAAACTCTTTCTGACATTTTATTGTTTTACGTTATGTTGTTTTTGCAAGCTGTTTTTATAGCAGCATAATTATCTCAAATCCAAGGTTAATGACGGGTTAAAGGTGTGAAACAATAATTAAAATCACGGGTTAGTTATATTGCCAAACTTCAAGTGCCCTCAACGGCTTTATCCAAACAGCGGAAGTCTTCAAGCTGAGAGAACCAGACCGCCGATCCTCACCAGTCCACCGCAGTCCAAGGCCGAACACGGGCGAGTCGGGAAAGCGGCCAGAACTCCCTTTGCTTTCAGTCGTTATCGCCGCCTCCTTATGGAGAGCAGATTGTGTGAAATGTTATGACAAACCGGGAAGAGTTTGAGTGGGAAGCGCCAGTGTGTTATGAATGGACACTGCGTAGCCTTCGGTCACTGCTACTCTTTCATTTCAACCCCCCCCCCCCCCCCCCCCCCCCCGCTGCCCCCCCCGGCTCCTTTTCTTTGACTCTGCATGCTTGGCCCTCCGTCCAGCTGCCGCCGGATAGAGCCGGCCAACCTAAGGCCCGCACAGCCGACCCCCGGCAGATGTCCCAGAGTGGACACATTGGGGTGGTGGGGGGCCGGCGAGCAGGCAGAGTGACACGACAGACAGAAGGAGAAAGACCACCGCAGCTTCTCCCATTATCATCTGGATCTTCTGGTGGACCAGAACGCTGATTAATCGATAAATAGTTTGGGAGAGATGGAAAAATTCCCAACCCAAATAACCCAGAGTTCAATGCGACGACTTTTGAATTGCCCTCACAGATAATGGGGAATTCATATGCCGGGCAACTGAAATCTGCCCGATTTGAGGAGGCTCTCCACAACTCCATCGAGGCGTCGCTGCGCTCCAGCAGTGGAGATCCGCAGCCCATCTTCACACAGCTCTACCTGGAGCCGGAGCCGTTTCCTGGTAACATCGACGGTAGGAAGAAGTCTGTCTGTGGCATAATGCTGGGTCTGTTTCCTGATCCTCTCTGAGGAAGTTTACCAGAAATAAAGTGTAAATAAATGTGATTCATCCTGAACTTTTTGTCTTTTTGTACTTTGACCTTCTAAACTAAAAAACCTTAAGTCATCATCAAATGATTTGCTTTAAACCCAGTATCATCATCATCATTAATGGTGAGGAATCTGCCTGTACACCACAATGTTCCCTGTAATTCTAATCCATCCAATGTCCATCAGACATAAAGCCGAAAGGCGAGCTCCACGGCGGGGAGGCGCACGGCAGCGAGATCACCAACGGCCACTTGTCCAACGATCTGGAGGAGCTGGAGGAGGACGATGACTCGGACGGCAGCAGCCCCCCACTTCCCTACCTGCAGGCCCCGCCCCCCGACGGCTGCTGCACGCTGGACGGTAAATCCCCCCCGAAAATCTGGATTAGAAATACACTTATGAAGATGTGATTTCTACTTTACTTTTTTTATCACTCAACTCACACCGTCGATCCAGTCCGAGTCTTTTTTCCCCCCCTCGACTACTCACATCTCCACACATCTGTCCTCCTCAGGGTTCTGTCAGGCCGGCAAGGACCTCCGCCTGGTTTCCATAGCAACAGAGCACATCGAAGTCCCAGCGGGCTTCGAGCTGGTCGGTGCCAAGTCCCCCAGCGTCCCCGAGCACATCCTGGTGTGTGCGGTGGACCGCCGCTTTCTGCCTGACGAGAACGGGAAGAATGCACTTTTAGGTCAGTCTGTCCTCCGGTCTGAGATCAGTGTGAAGGAGGAGGCAGCTTCGTATCAGCATCCTGTTTAGGTTCCTGTTAGAATGAATAGACCTCACTGTTAGCCCGTGCTCACCAAAGATTGGGCTGGATTGAGCTATTTGTGAATAATGTTCGTAAAAAAAAAAGAAAAGGCTGCGAGACTCGTCGATTCCTCCATCGGCAACATCTAATACAATACGGCTTCTGTCTTTTTATTTTAAATTACAATTAACCTACTGAATGCATTTAGTTGCTGACCCTTGGCGTTGAACACAAATGAATAACCCTGTCTCCTTGTTACTGCCAGGTTTTTCAGGGAACTGTGTGGGATGTGGGGAAAAGGGCTTTAGATACTTCACCGAGTTTTCAAACCACATCAACCTGAAGTTATCCACCCAGCCCAAGAAGCAGAAGCACTTAAAACACTACCTGGTGAAGAATTCTCAGGGTGCTCTGTACAAAGGACCCCTCATCTGTTGGAAAGGTACAAGAGCTTTTAGTATGACACGGATTCCTTCTCCGATGACGTCCCGCTACGTTTTTCGATAGTCCCAGTTTTGGTCATGGTTCTGTCCGTCCCTCCTCAGACTGCAAAACCCGCCAGATCTCCAGCAGCGCGCCGACGTCCAAACCCAGCTCGTCCTCCTCTGTCAGCAGCAAAGAGAACGGGGGCGCCAGCGGACACAGCTCCTCGCCCTTCTCCTTCTCGGGTGAGACTGTGACCCGGCACTGATGATTTGGGCCCAACCCCCTCCCCCTCCCCCCCCTTCGGGCGTACGCGGATGACCTTCTCGTGCAGGATGATCGTAGTGACGTCATGTTAAAAGAAGAAAAAAAAAAAGAGGCGTTTTTTTTAGATTCTGCTGTCTGTTCATCCCTGAAATGACAATCTGAAATGTATGCATTTCACCAAAGAAAGTTGCTGCATTGCTTGGTTTGTACTGATGACGTTGTTGCCGTAGAAACAGATGGTCGTAATTCATTAGGTGAGCGTAATCCGACTGTAATCCACTACTCTCCCATTACGCTGTTTGTGAGCTGGCTTTGTTTGGTACTTCGGTGTGTGCTCTGGTAGCATGTTGGTAATAATCAATAGTAAATAGCCTTCCCAGTTCATTTTCTTATTGTTATTGCCATCAGTTGGTGACGTCTTGTCGTAGTGTTTTTTGGCCCCCAAAAAAACGTTATGCTTTTTTGAGTCACATCATTTTCTTTTTACAAAACACAATTCAATTGTCTGAATGATTCCCAGATGAACCAGCAGCCTAATGTCACATGACTCCTTCCCTTCAAGGAGGTGGCTTCTTTCCTTTTTTTCTTCTCCTCTGACCTCTCACAACACGAGCGCCTGTTCCCTCGACGATTGAGAGAAAAAAGCTCCCGGGCTCGTGGTATTGATTTGTTCCCTGTCAGCACAGGTCTCACCGCATTAATGTGCAAAGACAGCTGAGCCTCAAATCTCCTGACTTCCGACCCTCCAGGTACATCCTGCTCCCCGAGAGGTCGCCGACACTTGGCGAGGCGAGAGGTTAAACACCGTGACACGCGCTTCTCCGACCAAACGAGCGCTGGTCCCCGGCAATGATTGATGGGGAGGGAGAGCCGCGGTGTGTTTGTCAGTGTACGGACACGGGAGGGCCTGTGTGATTAGACGCGTGGAGGCCAAAAAGCAACCGCGTGACCCGAAGATGAGGGAGGGTGGGGGGGGGGGACTAGAAGTAGAAGCTGAGAGTTGGACGTCATTTAAAGTCTATTTCATTTCACCTCCAGATTCCCCACCAGGGAGAACGACGCAACTGTCCTCGGTCTTTTTCGGGAGTCAGGACCTCGGCAGAGACTGCAGTTTCCTCAAACCTCTGTCCGCCACATCTGGAAACAAGACTCTACCGTTAGGTAAGGCTCTTTTTCATACACACTGGGTTCCAAACGGCTATTTGCCCATGGCCGTGCACTTCCTCTCTGCGTTATGCTCATCAATAGGCGGACACAAGATACATTTTAATCCCACTTTAATCGGCCCCAGTTGCGTCCAGTCATCTGCGAGGATCCAGATGCTGATAAGAGGCTGATTGTACTTCTGCTGAAAGCGGTTGCTTAGCTACGCGGTTCAGCGCGGAGCAAAGATTGACCTCGGCCTGCTGAGACAAACGCAATCGCACACAAAGGCGACATGCACACACAAACAGACGCACGTGTGTGTGTGTGTGTGCACGCCAATCAATACTGCGGGGAGAAATGCCGTAATGACTTTTTAAGGCCTTTGCTATCCATTAGCGCTTACAAGGTTGTGCTATTGACAGGCAAAGGCCACACACACCAATCAATGGTTCGCTGTATTGTAAACACAGTGAGTATGAGATTGCTAAATGTCCAGTGTTTGTCGTTGCCGATACGTTCATGTAGAGTTAATCAATAATACACTGTTAGGACTGACTGATTTTTATGTGATGCTCCGCTGTGAAACTATTATTCATATTTAACAGTGAGGATGAATCCTCATTATATTTACTTAAGCTTGTATGCTATTTTGTGTTTGTGCGCTAATCAGCAAATGCTACTGATTTTGCTTCCACATGAATTAAATATATAAATAAAGATCTAAATATAGTGAAGCTCGACTGTGGACGTTAACGCTTTTGCCCGCATGTGTCTAGTCCCCACAGCTCTGAGGGTGAACGGGCCGCCCAATTGCCTGAGCGTCGACGTGCGGCCCCCCTTGCTGAGCCCCTCCCAGGTCTCCCTGGGGCCGCAGGCTCACGCGTATCGCACTGCTGACTTAGGGGACAGTCCTGGTAAGTCCTTTTTTTTTTTTTTTTTTTTTTGTTCTGGGCAACATGTGACACGTTCACACGTTATTTGTCAAGCTTCAGTTCCGGTCACCGTTCTTTTTGTTCTCTGCCTTTGCTGAAGGTTCCGCATCCTCTGCCATGCACTCGGGCCCCCCGAAGAAGCGCCACCGGAGCTGGCATCCCAACTCGCTGCTGCCCGTCCCAGCCGTCCCCGTCCCCGTCCCCGCCATCCGGCCGATCGCCTGCTCTCCGGGTCAGTTCCTGGAGCCGATGTGGACGGCTCCTTTGAGCCGGGTTTGGGTTGTAAATTGCCCCACTTTTGTGACGTGTCTACTTTTTTTTAAATTAATTTTTTTAGCTCAATTGACCGTGTGTGCATGTGTTCTGTTTCCGTTGGAGCGTAGGCAGCGCTGTTTATAACCCCCACCCTCCTTCTCCTACCTCCGGGTCGTTCTCTTGTTGTTAGGGGTGATTCAGCCAGTATCTCCATGGAGATAGAGCTGGAGAGTTTGTTGCAGAAATGGTTCAAATGATTGAGGAAGATTTCTGCAGCATCATGTAATGGTGGTTATTTTGACAAGCATCATTTCAACTTCAATTTGTCTGTCCTGGTTTTATTTCTGTGGTTTTAAAACATTTGTGCGGCAGCACAACAGCCACAAACCTTGCTGTGTTCCCTTTTTGGATAATTTAAAACACTAATGTAGCTGTTTAACCCTAGTTATTCTATTATTTCCTTCAAGGTCCCGTATTAGGAGTGTCCCCTCCTCAGCCCCCAGCAGTAGGAGTCATCCAGCCGCTACCTGTCACCGCTGGAGAGACGGTCATCGTCCCCGACAACCTACTATCCTCCTCGGGAGTTCGCCCCGTCATCCTCATCGGTACCGGCCTCATTTCCGTGATCCGCTCCACCTCAGGAATTAAATATCCTGGGGGGCACGACGGAACAATGTGTAGCAATATGAGGAACTGAATCCGAGCCACTGAGTACGGAGTGAAATCTTCCGTTATTGGCTTAGGGATTTTCAGAAATGTACTTTCCCCCTCATAATAATGTCCTTAAATCCATTAAAAAGTGTTCTTGGGGAGATTTTTAAATACATATCATTATGAAACGGCTAAATAAGCTTATAACAACTATTTTTCATTGGTCATCCCACATTTTCCCTGTTTCAAAGCGTTCCATATGCTTCTCCTTTCCTTACAGGGCACGGCACTCTGCCTTATTTCTACGGGAACGTCGGCGACATAGTGGTGAGCCCCCTGCTGGTCAGCTGCTACAAGAGCAGCCAGCTGACGGAGAAAGCCCTGGAGACGTTGGGCCTCAACGGCAGCCAGCTCCTGTGTGTGGAGACCATGGCTCTGCTCACGTTGCAGTACCTCGCTCGTTTAGGTAAGCACAGCGGCATCGCTGGCTGAATGGAAATAGGACTTTTGGGGGGGTCCTTTCATAAAAGAGCGCCTTTTGTCCCGCAGGCCCGATGCAGATCCCTCTGAGGGAGGAGCTGGAGCAGATCGTCCTGAAGGCCATGCTGTGCTGCCCCAGGGGTCCGGCCATCTCCCCGTCCCAGCTGCCCTGGTTGGCCCGGCTGGAAGCCAGCGTCTCGGGGGGCAGCGTGCAAGTCGTCGTCACCCATAACTCCCTGGGAGAGGGCATCTCGGAGTCGCTTCGCTCTCTGACCGAGGGCCCTCAACCCCAGAAGTGCCTGCCGACCTACGTGGTCATCATATGTGCCTCGAAAATGAGCGGCAACGAGTTCTGTGTGCTCGTGCTGGGTGAGCGTTTCCAGTGCTTTTATGAAATCCTTTAACCTGGCTTCCGCGATCGGCCCGTGCGCAGTTCGCACCTTTTTTTTTTTTAAAGTTGCGATGGTGATGATCTAATCTAAACTCGTGTGTCGGACACAGGAAAGTATCAGGCGCGGGCCTTGGCTGAAGGCATGCTGACAACCAACGAGTTTCTCAAGGAGATCAGCTACGAACTCATCACGGGGAAAGTCAGCATCTTGGCGTCTCACTTCAAGACCACGTCCCTGGGTGAGTGCAGGAGCGATCACAACAACGCAGGACACAACTTCTTCATTTGGACGGAAAAACCAGCATTTCGTGAACATATTTGCCTGTTTTGCATGTTCCACCTAAAGCCGACGCCTCTGCTGTGACTGTGGAAAATCGTTATGTTTAGAATGTGACTGACTCGTTAAAACCGATCACATGACCAGTTTGACCCCACGATGGCGAATGAACATCAAGCGCAGGGACAGAGCGCTCCGCTCAATGGGATCTGCGTTCGCCGACCGGCTTGAGCGTCTGGCCGCGTGTGACTTTTGCGACTGTTTCATTTTTCAGGAGACAATCTGGACAAGCAGCTGGTGCGATACCAGCGCAGATGGAAGGGACAGGTCGTCCAGCCCTTCCAGAGCGACGTCACCGAGCACATCCACTCCCAGGAGGCTGCCAGCATGTCACCGCCCTCAGACAGAGGTGGGACTGTCCTCCATCACGGAACAAGACTCGCCATTGGTTGTTTTCTCTGCGTTTAAAAACGTCTCACTTGTACGTTGAATCGATGCGTAGACCTTCTACCTCTTTGTTTTCCTGTAACAGAGCTTTTAGGAAAGCTCTTCCAGATCTACCCCACCCAGCTAAGCGTGGCCCGCAGCCTCCTCTCTCAAGTCTGCTCCATCGCCGACTCGGGAACCCAGAACCTCGACCTGGGCCGCTTTTGTAAAGTGGACTTCCTCGTTCTGGTCCCTCCGTCCCACATTCTGGTGCACCAGACGGCGCAGCGCATCCGCCAATCAGGTTTGTGTTTACAGTGAGAAATAACGACCTGATAAAGATTCAAGGGTGACTCGTCCACCTGCTCGGAGACAGAGTGTTCCAGCAGTGGTGTTTCGAGATTAACCGTCCTGTTTGTTTCATGTTGTGTCCTCCATGACAGTTTATATATTAACACCTAACTAAGTGTGTAGCATTTCAAACCGTTGGTGGAGCTTGCGATCTTTGTTGTAGAGCATCTTTGGTTGCCATGGAAAACAAGAAGGGGAGATGAAGGCCTGGAAGCATGTTCACATGATGAATGTGCCTGAACCCACGTTTTATACACTAATTAAGATCCGTTCATGCATCTAATGACCGGGAGAACCACAGGTGTCCAAAAGTTATATAAAATTTTTTTTTTACTTAAGCTGACACTACGTTTAAGAGGAAACCTGTAAATCGTTTCCGAAGCGACAGGGTCAAACGTCGGTGTCTCGTTTGTTTTCGGCTCAGGAGTCCTCGTCGACCTCGGCGTCGAAGACGTCTGCTCGGCCCACCAGAAGTCGGACAAGTACGTGGTGCGTCTGGACGGGGACGTTCACGCCAAGATGGAAGCCTTCATGAGGAAAGTCAAGCAGAACCCCTACACCCTGTTCGTCCTCATTCACGACAACTCGCACGTCGACCTCACGAGGTAAGGCGACACTGTTCCACGCTGTTGGTAATGTGAAGATGTGTGAAAGGGTGTCATGGCTGCAAATCTAGCCTCTGCCTTTTGTATGCACTCAAAGTGGAGGGAGGAGAACCGCTGCGAGCGAGCGGCAACTGATACGGCACGAGTGTCTTAAGCTGGGAATTTGGTCAAACGTTGGCCTGTCATCATTTGTTTTGTTATTATTTTAGACAGGAACTTAATTTTCCCTGTTATTTAAAATATTTTTTGAATTATTTAGACTATTTTTTTTACTGTTCTGTAATTTAAACATTTAAACTATACTAAAATAAAACTTGGTTTTGAAAGTGCGGTGTAAATAACGTTTTTATTGAGCCAATACCTGATTCCAAGTAAACTACTGCCAAAACCAAAATAGCTTCCTTCTTCTTCTCCAAGGGGTTTTTTCTTGGTACGTGACCTTCAACACACTGGGCAGTTGGCGCACCACATGTGAAATCCTTCATGCACCGCGCCGCTCATCGAGCTGTTGTTTGCATCGAAATTGAATTGAATGAAATTACAACCTCCCTCACAGCTTCATGACCGTTCGCCCCTCTCGCTCCCCAGTGCTCTGTCGGGCTCCGTGTGCCACGGCGAGCTGCAGGGTCTGGCCGACCGGGTGGTCAACTGCCAGGAAGTCCTAGATGCCATGAACCTCCTGGTCCTGCAGGTCAGCTGCTTCCCGTACACGCTGCAGACCCACCAGTCCCGCATCAGCATCCACAACGAAGTCCACTGGCCCTCCAGCGAAAGTCTGGTGAGTTTGGTTTTAACAGCCCAAATGCTGTGAGTGGGGGAGAGAAGTTACGCACGTTGTTATTGAAAAGCACCTTTCTATAATGCTGCTTCTTGTGAATTGTGAATATTTAAAGTTGTAGTTGCAGGCAGAGGCCCGTTTGTAACAGCTGTGGTTTAGCAGCTCCACCTAGTGGAATTTGTTTGTTGTTTTAATTCGATTGGGCTTCTGGGTTGGCCCAAAATATCATTTCTTATGCTCATTTCTGCTCACGATTCCTCCGTCACGTCGTACCTGTATGCTGCCATTCAACACATATTTTGTCTGTTCTGAGGTCATTGTGTGTTCTGTTGTAATTCTGTTTTCATTGAATGAAGTGGTTTATTTCAGGCCTCATAATACTTCCAACAAAAGTCAGATTCATTTCATATTGTATTTGTTCTTATTCTTACTGTAATTGAGCTAAATAAACAGAAACCCCAAATTACATTATTTAAAGTAGTGGCTCTCGAACCAATTACACCAAAATCTTTTAAAAAAACGTGCAGCACAAAACCTGCCACATCCTCTGGGTTCATGAGCCAAAAAGGTCGGAAAGCGCTAATGACCTCTGGTGCAGCGTAGTTGATGTGCAAGTGGAACAAAAAGCTAGACTCGCACGACAGGATGACGTGTTCTGACTCAACTATACCAACTGTCTTCCGGCAGGGGGAGCAGTCCCCCAACGAGTTGCTCTACTTCGGCCTGCGGGACTACAGCAGCTCCCTGCAGTGGGGCGTGGCCAGCCCCATTCTGCGCTGTGATGACGCCTTTGAGAAGATGGTCCACACGTTGCTGGAGAGGTCAGTGCGGCGTAATCCCCCGAGTCGCCGCTAACACAGATTAGCGCGCCGTCACCGACGGTCTTTTTCGGGTCTTCCAGCGCGTTGGGAAACGCGAACCCGTCCAGTTGTTGCGAAAAGGCGTCACCGCCGGCAACAACGCAGCTCAGACTCGTGCGTTTGTTTTCCCCAGACATCCGCACCTTCACAGCATGGTGATCCGCAGCTACCTGCTGATTCAGCAGTACACCGAGGCCATGATGGCCTTGACCTCCTCGCCGTCCCTGAGAGACCACATAACCCCGGAGACCCTGGCCATGGTGGAGGACCTGATCAACGCCCCGAGCAGAGAGGGCTCCCGGGGCCGGGGCCACATGCTGCTGGTTCGAGTCCCCTCGCTGCAGCTGGCCATGCTGGCCCGGGAGCGCCTCGAGGACGTGAGGGACAAACTGGGGCTCCAGCTGTGCTTCGCGGTGCTGCTGGGAAGTCCGGCCACCGAGCTCAACCTCCAGAAGAACTTCACCATGCGCCTCAAGGCGAGGAGAACAGTTTTGTTTTTTTCTCACTTATGGATGTGGTTTCCTCACTACATGTTACACAGATGTTTAGTGATTATCTGGGTGTTGACTTAATTCACTTATCTATTTTTCTTTTAGATTATTGAGATCAATCTCAACCCTTGTTTTTGTTTTAAGACTTACATTCGTCTTTGAACAGGCTGACTGATTCACCTTTTACGCAAGGCTCGCTTGAAATGAGGCATTTAGAAAACCTAGTTCTAAATGATGCATTCATGACTAAACAAACATTTTTGTGTGTTTCACTTTAGGCGTGGAGAGGCTGTGAGAATGAAGACTGGGTGCCACACACCTATGAGGATCTGGAAGGGCTGCCGTGCATCGTCATCCTTACAGGGAAAGACCCCCTCGGAGAAACCTTCCCCAGGTGAACTCACGTTTTCCTTTGGCTCATCTATAATTCCTCTCCGTATCCTGTACCTCCTCCAAGTGTTTTCTTACACGTCTGCACTGACAGTGTGGATCGTTTCCTCCACAAGAGGTCCAGTTACGGTTCCGTTACGCAACCAGTAGGCCGGCCCGGGTCGTCCATCCGTGTTTTGTCAAAATCAGTTTTGCCAATTTGCGGTTCCTATGCGTTTTCACAAGACAGATGCGTTCAATAAAAACGTAAAAGCAAATATAAGACCTTTTTTCACACCTTTTACCCGTCCAGGTCTCTGAAGTACAGCGACCTGCGTCTGATAGACTCCAGCTACCTGACCCGCACGGCGCTGGAGCAGGAGGTGGGTCTGGCCTGCACCCACGTGTCCATGAGCGTTGTCCAGGAACCCAAGAGGGCCATGGCCCCCCGGGAATCCGACGGGGAGAAGGCCCCCGCTGGCTTGAACGATGGAGACGAGCTGGAGAGGCCTCAAAGCAACGGCAGCGCTGCCACCCGAAACTCCGGTGAGTCCCCCGAACCCTGCGAGATGCACGTTGAAGCAACGTCCTGGAGTCCTTCTTAACCTTTCTCTCTCCACGTCTGCACTCAGGCTCTTTGGCGGAGAACGGCGTCAGTTCATCGGACAACGCCGACTCCTCCCAGAGGCCCTCCACCTCCACCGGCCCGCCCGACGCTGGCACGTCCCCCGACGTGGGCTCGGCGTCGCAGGGCTTCAAGCAGGAGTGCGACTCCCTCGAAAGCCAGTTCTCCTCCAACCCCTCCAAGGCGCCCAACGCCCCTCCCTCCCTTTACTCCAGCTCCTCCTCTTCCTCCCCGTCGTCCTCCTCCGCGCAGCGGCCCAGCCAGTCCACGCAGTGCGTCCGAGAACCCAAGCCCGCCCGGGTGTCCCCGCGGACGGTCATCATGTCGCGGGCGGCGTACAGCCTGCTGGCGGGCGAGTCGGGGAGCCAGCTGAGCTCCTTCTCCTTGCTGCCCCACGCAGACGTGGCCTGGAGCAGCCCGCTGAGGCCCCTCGTCACCCCCAACCTGCAGGGGCCGGAGCAGAGCGCCTACTACCGCGAGTGGACCGTCGCCAGGCAGCACCACGCCGATTACGAAGCTCCGGCTGTGCCGCACCCGCGGCGCCTGCTGCTCAGCGGACCCCCACAGGTAACAAAACACAAAGTACAGCCCCCCTCCGTCCCCCCGAGGGCGCTGATAAGCACCGATGTGTATGTTATAGCTATTTGTGCATTTGAGTGTAACGTGACAAGGAGGATATTTTTGCCCTTAATCAGGTGGGAAAAACTGGAGCCTATCTACAGTTCCTCCGCATCCTGTTTCGAATGCTCATCAGACTGTTGGAAGTCGATGTGTATGATGAGGAAGAGGAGGAGGAAGAAGAAGGTGAAGATCACTGAACCTCGGATATAATAATGAACTAAGCGACGAGTTGGTGTTTTTTGTTTCATTCTGATCCTTTCATGCTCTTTTCGCCTCCAGAAACATCAGAGGTTGCGACTCTCGTAAAAACCCAGCTGCCTGACATTGAGGAGGTGCGGAAGATGCCCTTTGACCCCTACCCCCGCGACCCCAAGTTCAAGCAGGCCAGCCCTGTTTACACAGACAAGAAGCCAATGGTCTTAACAGGTCAGCTGAAATACGCAAACCGACAGCAGAGGGATTCTCTTAATTCAGCATTTAATCCGTCATTGGAAGAACGATAACATTTTTTCATCCCAAAATGTCAACTCAAGGAACAAGTGCGAACACGTTTTGATTTTTTTCTCATCCGCAGATTTTAAGCAAGAAAGCGAGAGCCAAACGCCAGCCAAGCGAGTGACCAAGTCCATACGTCTGAGCAGGTTCGCTGCCCACAACGCCTTTCACCACTGTGAACAATGTCACCACTACTGTGAAGCAGGCCCCGCCTCCCAGGTGAGTGCCCCGCCCCCTCTCTCCGTTTGTGCCTCTTCGCCGTCCCCGCGCGGCTCCTGCTTAATCCTCATCGCGCGTTTGTGTGTCGTAGCTGTCGGAGTGCACTTTCCACGCGTTCACCTTTTGCTCGTCCATGCTGGGGGAGGAGGTCCAGCTGCAGTTCGTCATCCCCAAAGCCAAAGAGCAGCACTTTGTCTTCGGTCAGCAGGGCAGCCACTTGGAGAGCATGCGCCTGCCTCTGGTCTCCAACAAGGTTAGTTGACTGTGCACACGGGGGAGTTTTTGCATACGTGCAGTATGTTTCTGGAGATGGTTGGAGGCTTCCCAAATCAACACGTTGAACCTTCTATATTTTGTTCCGGGTTTTTTTTTTTTTTTTGTTCCTAATCCAAACGACTTCCTTCCGTGGCCGCCTCCTAGAACCCCGACCTGCTGAAGAGTCCGATCTTCACCCCGACCACGGGGCGCCAAGAGCACGGCCTGCTCAACATTTACCACGCGATGGAGGGCGCCAGTCATCTGCACATCCTGGTGGTCAAGCAGTTTGAGATGCCCCTCTACAGGAAGTACTGGCCCAACCACATCTTGCTGGTCCTGCCGGCGGTGTTCAACAACACGGGAGTCGGTGAGCGGCTTGCTGGCTTGATCCAACTGAGATGTTTTAACTGCGATGCAAAGCGTAGCGTTTTCATTGCATGCTGCGGACCAATGTCTTTTCTGCACATTTACTATGAACAAAAACGAAGGTCGAAGGGCACAGTAGGTGTCACCGTTTTGAGAATTCATAAATGGAAAAGTTGACACGTGTGCTCCCGTCTGCTCAAGGTGCCGCCCGCTTCATGATAAAAGAGCTGTCGTATCACAACCTGGAGCTGGAAAGGAACCGACTGGAGGAGCAAGGTGTGAGGAGGCAAGATGTATGGCCTTTCATTGTGATGATGGACGACTCATGCGTGCTGTGGAACACCCACCAGCCCACCGACAGCAGGTAGCAATTGTTTCAGATTTTTTAAATCAGCGTTTTTTCCGAAACGTAGATTATTTATCAGAACGTGTATTATCCTGGTAGGAAATGTATATTTTATGATATTTCAAGGCCCCAAAGGAAAGCACGGAAAAGGTACGTGATTATAAAACCGTGTTCGCCGTCTCCAAAAAAAAAAAACCTTTCTAATGTGTCCTCTGTCCTCCTCTGTCTCTCTCAGTGAGACATCAGACGGAACCAACGTGTCGCTGAAGACGGTCCTGCAGCAAATGGAGAGCACGCCGAAGATCTCCCTGTACGCCATGTGCGGTACGCGCAGGTGGAGCAGCGGCTTGGCTCGCAGGTCTCCGAGCGCCCCCTTCAGCCGCTGTCACCTCCATGACTTTGTCCTGCTCAACGTGGACCTGACGCAGAACGTGCATTACGACCTCAACCGGTACGTCGGCGGGAAGGGTCGCGTCAATCAGCCGCGTGGCAGGGGGGGGGCGGTTCGCGGTGGCGCCTTAATCCACCGCGTTTCGCCAATTTTCGGTCCCGTGTGCAGGTACAGCTGCGAGGAGGTGGACTTCAATCTGAGGGTGAACAGCAGTGGGTTGCTGCTGTGCCGCTTCAACCACTTCAGCTTCATGAAGAAACACATTCCAGTGGGCGGAAACAAAGACTTCCTGGTCAAACCCAAACTCGTGGTACGTGTTGCTGCATCCGCACCAACAAAAACGTGAGCTTATTTGTATGAAACGCCCTTTAACACCAAACTGCGTGCTCCCCCCCGCCTCCAGGAGATGGAAAACCCCACCGCGATCAGCCCGCCACAGTATGTTTGCGCCCCGGACAGCGAGCAGACCCTCCTGGACGCCCCGGCCCAGTTCTTGCTCGAAAGGTTCCTGCAGAGCTGCAGCCACAGACTGTTCCCGAAGGCCGTTCAGAACCGGAGCAACCCGGTTCTGTCCATCGACAGCTACCTCAACATCAGCCCGGAGGTGAGAGCTCGCGGGAGGACGCAGTCGAAGGCGAGAATGTTGGCGTCGTTCCTTCAGCTCCAATCCAACCAGAACAAACTGTCGTGAAACCCTTTTCGGTTGCTGAATTTTCATTTATTCGTCCATCCCGCGTTCCTGTTTCAGGGGAGCTTCTAACCGCAACTATGACAAAAATATAATAGACGAATTATAAGATATAATGTGAAGCTGCTGAATGTGTGGAATTCTTTGAATGATTTCCCCATCTGTTTGGCTGAGAACTATCCGACCTACCTTCACATGTGCAAACAGGGAATGCTAACAATGCACATTTCCACTACCGGCTGCATTTATTGTGCACAGCTTCATCATTTACATCCCTTGACGTACTTACTTGGGTGGCTGTTTTCTCCTGTAGTGGGAAAAAAAATTATGATACTATAAATAACTATAAATCTGCCTGTAAAGGCTCCAATGGCTTCCTAGAGGAAGCGTTTGTGGTTATTTCACTGAAAAAACAAACAACTTTACGTTTCTTTCGGTTCGCTGGGGTGGAATTAACGGAATGTGTCGCGTGTGTCGCAGATCTCTGTGTGCTACATCAACTCTCGTCCACACTCCACCAACCTGAACCATCAGGGGCTGCTGTTCAGCGGCCTGCTGCTTTACCTCTGCGACTCTTTCGTCATCTCTGGACTCCTCAAGAAATTCCGCTTCCTCAAAGGTGACGCCGCAGTTTTACTCGTGGTCATTGCGACTGCTTGTTGTCTCCTTCTTTTACTTCACGTTCTCCTGAAGGAGTTCTTTTGGTGGTGACCCGCTCTGATTATTCATTCGTTCGTTAACCCCTCCCGTATGTGTCCACAGGCGCCACTCTCTGCGTGATCAGCCAGGACCGAAGCTCCCTGCGGCAGACCATCGTCCGACTGGAGCTGGAGGACGAGTGGCAGTTCCGCCTGCGGGACGAGTTTCAGACGGCCAACTGCGTGGAGGACCGGCCCCTCTACTTTCTGACCGGCCGCCACGTTTGAACCCTGAAAAAACGCACTCGGGAGACTCAGGGCGGATTTGATTCCCAAGGAGGATCAGAGGTTGTGAGCTGGAGCGTTGGATCCAAAGTGCCCCACGAGTGGACACGAGGGCCCCTGACGGGTCTTTCCCTTCATCCGTAGTGCCACGGTGCACCGTGACAAACTCTGGAGAGACGCGGTGCGGGTTTGGACTCCGCTTGAGCTCGTGTTCCACTGAAGGGGAAAGCGTCGACGGGACTATTTGAAGATTGTATTTGTACATACAAATGTACTTTGACTACTGTATGTCCCGTTCTGGACATACGTGTTTTATCTCAGGGTGTTATTGGGAGATCCAAGGAAAGGCCGCTTAAAGGGGTGACGCTTCTTCTTTTTCTTTTCTTTTTTCATTCACCGTGTATTTTTGATTCGTGTCGTGCACCAAAGACGTCCTTGCTGCCTTTCCCGCTCGCTCGCCCGCTCGCTCGCCCGCTCGCTGTCCTCGTCGCCGCTCACCTGCTCCGCCTCTCAAACTCCACGCAGCCCATCGCCTGTAACAGTCAGCCCACTGCAATGAAGATACATAAACACAGAGGTTGACCTGTACAGGATTTCTCAATCATTTAGACCTCAAATGGACTTCTGTCTTGTGCCTAAAAAAAAAAAAAATGTGTATCGATAATCCTTCTGACGGGGAGCTGAATGAATGTCGTTTTAGTCCCAAGTTGACTGACGCTTAAATTATCCAAAGATTTTCTTCACAACTAACGAAAACTTACCAGTTGTTTCCCCTCAAGAATGTAGAGGTTTAATGTTCCATTCAGGCTTGAATATACAATTGCGAAGCACGTGTTTGGTCCAAAACACACACTCTGACTCGCCACATGGTTCTACTCGTAAAACTCAAATTTTAAATGCCAATCACGCGGACGGGAGCAACGCTGAGGAAAAAAATAGTTTACTGCTACACTCTGAATGTTTTGTATTCAGGCATTTACTGACTTGAAAACTGGGTGTTTCAACCACAATCACATCGCAGCAATCAATGCTGTTTAATAAGCCAGCCTCTCCACTGCCAAATATCCTGCTACTGACTACTGTGATGTCACCTCCTGTTACAATATTCTGAGGCTGTACGTTAAAGGCCTCTGATGCCACATTTACCCATAATCTGCCATATATTTTGTCCCCCAAAACAATAGGGAAATCCAAGAAAGGGTCACACGCTGCCGAAAGCAGCTGATGGGATCGTTTCGTATACTTGAAAGTAGAGTGTTTTATATGTTCCTGCACAGGGTTGTCCAAAGAATATGCCTTTTTGGTGACGTTTCACACGGTCACTGCTAAAGTCTCAGATTTTTTCGGACCAATGAGAAACCATTTAACTGTGAGACGATGAAATGTTGTTTGTCAGAGTGAAGCAAAATGACATAATTAGATTTCGGACTACTGTACTGTTTAAAGCTTTGTTTACATTAATAATATATTATATCATCCCCTTAACCACTGAGGGTTACTGATGTATTTTTTTAGTCTTGTGTAACTTTTGCCAGTATATTTTGGTCATGATGTCTTTCTTAATAGTATGTTTATGTTGCAAAGACAAGAAGAATCTACCTAGACGAGTCCTTAACCACATGTGCGTATCCCTTCCTGTTCTTGTGTTGTGTTTCTATTAAAAATGAAAATTAGGTCCGTTAGGGATTCTTATTTATTCGACAAGCATTTTGGACTGATAATCATATCGCAGTGTCGTATTTGATTGCATGCGGAGCTCGTCTAAACCATCTTGGGAGAATCGGCACAAATGAATGTCACATGGGGGGGGTGGGGGGGGGTAGGAAATTTGAACTTGCACTATACAAGTTACCAGCAGGAAAAAGAACCAAATATTTCCCATTATTAAACGTGCCCTAAAATCTGTCCAAAAAACACGACTTGTGATCCAAACTCTAACTTAAACTCCAACGGACAATGGAATGTGTCTTTCTTGTTAATAATTTAACTCTTAATATGCAACTTGCTCCCACAATCTTCACCAAAATGTGTTTGATAACCATGTGCGGCCCGGTGGTGGCCTTGGTGTCCGAGCGATCTACCTCATGTTTACCGTTGTGGTTGCAGATTGTCAACGTTATTAGAGATATTAGAGCCACGCTATCGTTGTTGGAAATGTATGAATGTAATAAAGTGACTTCTAAAATCATTTTTGTGGGGTTTTTTGTTTTTCTTTTGACTTTTGCAGCCACATTCACATTTGTTGGCCATATCTATGACGTCTGAGGGACCATGCGTTTTGCCACCAGGTTGTGCTGTGGCAGCATCCTCTATTTGGGACTCAGGGGCGGTTTGTGCACGCGTGTGCATGTGTGTGCACGCGCGTCGGCCCTTTGCATATCACCACCGGAAGGGTGCGGCTCGCGGCCCTACCACATCCTGCAAAACTTAAAACACCTGCTCACAAGATTTATTTCTGCAGAGCGTACGTCTCATTAGAAAGTGGAATTTAATTATTAAAAGATTAAAATAAAATTAATGTCCTAGTTTGTAAGGAAAATAATTTACTTTATCCAACTAGGTACAGCTGACGAACTGCCCTGGGGGTCCCGAACCCTATGGGGGCCAAAAGGCTCCAGGCTCCCCTTGTTGCTGTGTGTGCTAATTAAAGTCGCTGCAAGTTTTTTTAATATACGCAGCGCAGTAATACAGCCTTATGCCAGCCTTTGCAGTAGAGACCCCATGCTGTTGAGGGGCCCTTTGTTCGAACCTAGATTTAGATTTAAGGCCTTTGATGACTTGGAGCCTCCATTTTTTCCAACATTGGTAACGACTGATAATAAATAAGTAAGTTATCAATGGGGTTTTTTATATTTGAGGCACGGTTATTACTGTGTTATATTGCATAAAAAGCACTTTTGAGTTTTCAGATTCGGGATCTTTGCACTGCAGTGAAAATCGAGGCTACAGAAAGTAAAATGTGACAGGAGCCCTCTGGCTTATGAGAGCTTTGGTTAACTGATCAATTCAATTAAGACGTATTCCCTTATTCCCTCAATTTCTCAATCGAATATGTTTGTTCTGTCAATACCTACAAATATTGCTCATTTACTTCAGCACAAGTAAAGCGTTACGCACAACTCTCATCGGAATCTCGATGTTCTCTTGCAGAAACATACAGATTCCGTGTTTGCAGTGTGCTTGCAGTGCATTAATATAATTCTTAAGTGTATCTGCATGTCGCATTCCTGTAAATAATAATCCCCTCACTGGCTGCATACATTCAAGGACCATGCTCATCTCTCCCAAACTCAAGCCGTCTGCAGCCGTGCTGCGGCCGTGCTGCGGCTGCACCACGACACCTCTAACACCGGAGATGTCCTCCTAATGGATGCGCTCTTCACTCTCACGTCAGTGTGAGGGCACAGGGGCCGCGTTGGTCCAGGGACAGCACCATTCCAGCTCCTGCAAAGTAATATTAGAGCGCACTCTCCGTCAACCCCTGTGTGATATAACACAAGGCTATTTTCAGCCAGCTGCAGGACGACAAAGAGAGGGAGAGAAAAGAGTTGCTGGCATGCTTTATTTTAAAAATGCTTGCGCCTCATAATCTGTCTGTGGAGAAAGGCAGAGCGATGCTGTGCAGGAAGCCCAGGAGACTTTAGAGCTCTCAAAGTGATTCATTTGTGACAAACTGGAGAATTGCTTAAAAAGAGGTCAATATGTAATTACCTTTAAACGACTTAAACCATCCAACATGTAACGATTGGCTTTCTTTGGCTTCTCTCAATGATGCCGTAACACGTGGCACGCGGCTTGCTTGCTGGATTGAATTGTTTCGATTTACTCCTTTAACATTTAAACAAATCCTCGGAGATGACGTCTCCCGATGATTCTGACATTTCTTTCAATTACCGTGAGTCCTCGGGCAATGCGGTAATTATTATTACACCATACTTGCCAACACTGATGCTGTACAAAGTACAGATGAAGAACATTTACTGATCAATGACTCTAAAATTATAGAACATTTTCACATGAGCTGATGCATTTAATTGATAAATGATCAACACAAATGATAAACATCTGTGTCATAATATCAATTTACATAGATGGTAAACAACAGTAAATCACTCATCCCTTTTGATTCTAATTACTCTCAGGCTTGAGGGGGGAGGGGGAGCAGCCGGGGGATTACAGTTTGCCTTCGGTGGATCACATCCACTAGTGCGGCTACGCATATCCAATCGGCCGCTAAGCCCACGAGTGCGCAGTGAGTCAATTCCCTTGAGCAGAACCCTGGACGTGCACGAGGGAGTGTCACGCAGGTCACGCAGGTCACGCAGTAAGCCAGCTCAGGCGGCAAACTGTCAAAGGCCGGGAGCTCCGTCGCAGACGGGCGAGGTCCCACGCGAGCTTCGCACCTCCGGTTTCATGTTGTCAGAAGACATGATTAAAAATAAATAAAGCGAGGGAAAGAAAACGAAACACAGACAGTTGAAGGAGAAGTGCTGACGCGAGGCACCGTAATACGCTGGAGAAAACTAGTGGAATCACAAATGGACGTAGACTCTCTTTAATAATTTATTAAATACAGCATATTACACTCATTGTGATAATGTGCATACACTGAGAACTGTACTAGAGACATTGTTATTGTCAATTTAAAATCTTATTGCTGCACAGGTGATGACGGGATGTTTTCTTTTTCTTCTTACTCATCTAGTGTGCGAAATAAAATGCAGCATCCGACGGAAAAAGACGAACCGGCGCGTCCTTGGTGCTACAGAAGTGATGCTACGGTTCGGGACGCGACGAGACGTATGAGACACGTGCTACTCGACGGACGCCGACGACTCCACAGGAAGTCAGAGCGTCGCTGAGAGTCCGGCACGCCCGTCAAATGCCATCGTTTCGGCGATGCCAACTCATACTCGGTAGCCAGACCCTCGGTCATTGTTGGCGAAACAACCCCCCGCCCCACCCACCCCCCCAAAAAACCTCGTTGGAATTGTTCCACTGTGTTCAGGCCTCGATGGGGGTGGGGGGGGGTGGGGAGGGATATACTTTCAATGCATTGCACGAAATGAAGTGCCTTGCTTTAAGGGATTCCAGGCATGGTAAAATCAACTGAAATAGTGCAATTTCACATTCCTTGTCATTAATTAATTATCCTCCGTGTCATACATTTGAGAGCGTAAAAGCGGAGTGTGAGAAAATGAAAAAAGTGCATGCAGGAGGTTGAAGGAAGGAGAAGGAGCAACGTTTTGTGAAACGCTCACTCGCTTTCCTGCAGAGGTTCTGGGACTATGGATTCCGCTCTTATGTCTGTACAGAATGTTAAATGTAAGGCAGATGGTTAGCTAAGCTAAGCTAAATAGCTGCCCCCCCCCCTCCCCACCCCCTCCACTCTTTATTCTACGCTAAAACAACTTGTAGTTTGGACTCTCTTCTCACGAGCAGATTAGCGTTCTTAATAGTGAAAAGGTGTAAATAGTATATATCTTTAAACCACTAAAATAATAACTCGAGGAGTACGATTGAGAAAATAGATCTTCGCAGGATGCACGAGCGAATAAATAAAATCCCTGAGGGCTAAAATTCTACTGATGGATGTGCAGAAGGCTCATTGACGAAGATGATTGGATGTTCATGTGCAGTCCTTGTGTTAGCTCCTGGAGAAAATGATTGCACGCGGTGATCATAGAATTTGTCAGCTAGCTAATGCAACGCAGGGGCATTAGTATCCATCTCTTCGTCCCACTGACAGCGTGATTACATACAGCGACTTGTTACCTGCCTACATTTGTATGCAACTCACATGCCGCCCTTGATGGTGATGGGCCCTTCAAATGACAGGGGACGCTTTTTGTTTTGCTCGTGGCAGGAGGAAGAATGGGACGGAAGGATGGAGAGCAAAGATAGAAAGAAAAGTCAATGGGAGGAAGGAAGCGAGTCAAACACAGCCCAGGTGGAGAAGGAAGGAGTAAAGGGAGGACGGAATGCCGAATGAAAGACGGAAGGAAGGGCAAGTTTGGAAAATCGGTGAAGGAAGGAAGACAAACAGGGTGGAATTGTGTTAGAAATAAAGAAAGATTAAAAAGAAAGAATAAAAGATTAAAGGAACGGAGGAAGAAAGGCATTCGAGGGAGTAAAAGGAGCTCTCTCTCAGCAGGAGAGGTCTTGGAGTCCGCTGCCTTGTTCGAAGACCGCCTTGGTAAACTGCCTGTAGACTCGGTCCATGTACGTGCTCTGCCGAGGCCACAGGCCCTCCAGGAAACCGATGTGGCCGCCGTGACAGGTAATGAGCATGGCCAGGTTGGGATTCTGCTTCACCGCCTCCACTGGAATGGCTGCAGGAGGAAACACGCGACTCAGGTACCTGCTCTCATCTTTGCGGATGGGATCGTGGTCGCTCTTCATGTCATGGTGTCTGGGGCGTCCATGTGAAGGTCGCTGGGACTCACCGTGAGACGGGGAGAAGACGTCATCGGCGGCGTTCAGACACAGCATTGGCACCTGCACAGATTTCAGCTTGTGGACGGGACTGGCATCGTGGTAGTAGTCGTCATTGGTAGGGTAGCCGAACATTATGGAGGTGAACCTCTCGTCAAACTCTCGAATGGTCTTTGCCTGTGTTTGGGGATCAAGTGAAGCCGTTAGATTTGGGCTTCTTCCTTTAGTTAGATAAGCAATGTGTGGCCAAAGATCCTTGAAAATCACCCCGACCTTCATGATGTGATCGATGTCGTAACACTTCTCAAGCACCGGTCTGTGTCTGCAGGGAGAGATTCAAAAATAAAAAGGGTCGCCGCTGATTTGCAGCTGACAACGTCCCCTAAATAATGCTGACAAGGTTGTCACAGCGTAACGTAACAACAATCAGCAGCCGCTCGCCAAGTTGTGCTACAAAACAATTGCATTGCACGCCAAGGCCAAAAGGACGGCCCATGGGAACAAAATAAAAATATACATTTTATTCTCACCAATAGTGCTATTTATGAAACCACAGACCTTGTTGGGAAAGTGGAAAGTGGATTGAACCTTCCCTTTAATTCCACGCAAGTCGCTAAATGTTACCAGGCTTTTTAAATATGCCATCTTCACCAGCTGCACACATTTATTATACACAGTTATTCAAGCTCCTGCAGCAAATGCCCTTATTACCAACGGCGAGTTAGCAACCTCGTTGACCCCCCCCTCTCCTCTCCTCTCCCCTCCCAGGCTGACCTGTGCACGGAGGCTTGTAGGCAGCTGGTGAGGTAGGAGTTGAAGAGGAAGCGGTCCAGGGGTTTCTCCAGTGAAGCGGTGCACTCAAACACGTCCCAGCCCGCTGAGAAGACTATCACCCCTTTCAGACACGTCTTACGGCCCTTGCGTCCCAGGTAGTTGGCCAGCATCATCCTGAATATGGAGCGAGGGCGACACGGAGGGACGCATTGTTTAAGAAAAATACCAAAAAAAGCAGAGGGATTGAAACGTTTCCCATTTCTGACCAATCCTTCACTTCATGCGATTAGTGCTGGGCAGTGACAACGCCTTTTTTTTGGTTTGCCCTACTGAATGACCATTATAATACACTGACTATTGCCCGGGTGAGGCTGGATTTCTATTTCAAATCCAGACAACAGGAACTTTCACTTGAAGAATGAGAGTTCAGAGATCTACAAGCGTTTTGCCTCTTTTGCCCGAACCAATCAAAGACTCAAGCAGTGTTCTTGCTTGAGTCTCTTGTGTTCTTCAGTCAGCTGGTAGCGAGTGGCTTCATTACCCGCCCATGGACACCCCAGCTGCCATGATTGGAGCCGCTTCATTGGTCCTCTGGATGTGCTCAATAACGGTCTCCAAATCCTCTGTGTTGGCGGCGCAGTACGTCCTCGGGGTCTGGGTGGAACCAGAAGACAACAGAGTCAATGTCTGGCTGATGTGCAGGTGCAGATGTGGGGGTTTGTCAGTAATGACCACGTAAAAGGAAATGATGAGGACCCACTATGCATTTGGACCTTATTGGGCCACAGGCAAAGTAAATCCCTGTCTATATACTCTCGTTGGAACCAAACTAAACTCACAAATTGAGTCATAAGCCATCTTTCACACTAAACTCTAAACCAAAGCCCTGGCCTACCCCCCCACCCCCCCGGTACAGTGCCGAGGTCATACGGTTCAAACTTTTAGTTTTGACACAAGCCACTGTGCCTTCGTGACCCTTTTGTCCGGTCACAGATAAGCCACTGGTTCAGATTTCCACACACCGAGGGGCACATTAGCTCGATTGTGAGGGCATCCCCTCATTCGTGCCATGAATGAGGTGCCTGTACGGCAGGGATGGTGTGATTGGATCAGGGTGAAACAGTCGCCCACGAAGTGCCTCTGTCACAAGACACAGGCCCGCTTTGTTACATCTCTCGGGCCCATTTCGTCGGCTAAACGTACCCGGCTGCAAGAGGACAGATAAACTCAGGTGTCATAACTCTGCTGGGAAGCTGCCCCGCCAACTAACGGAGGGAAAACCAACTGTCCTCAACGGTCCAGCGGTTCTACGGGCGTCTTCGAGGCGAGTCAAGAGATGTAATGATTCCTACCAGCAGTGTTTCACCGGACACCCCTCTGTTGTTGAACACCACGCATCTGAAATACACAAAACATGTATTCCAGCACATATTCATAGTCGACTTGATTATTCCTTTAATCACTTCATCAACGTATTGGTTGTGACTGGAAGATGTTTAGATATAGGTGAAATGTCAATGCCATTATAGTAAAAAAACAAAACCAGTTGATGGATGATGGTATTGGCAGGTTAATGATAACGACCAAGTGTATGCACTCGTTTTTTTGTCACTCCAAGTCCTTGACTTTTTAAAGGAGCAAATTCCCTTAAACAAACGTTCCTCGCTTGGGAACATGATGGGATGCGCGGGAGGACACAGCTGTGGGGAGGGCAGTGTGCACAGTGTGCACCGTCCACAAAAGGCACGAGCATCCCGGCATTCGGTCGGTGTTACTCAGCAGCAGGGCGGGGCTGGATGGAGCGTTGGGCAAGAGGACTGGGAGGTGTGTGTGTGTGTGTGTGTGTGTGTTGGGGTATGTGCTCAAACACACACTGCAGCATAAACTCGGAAGCTGGCCTGGGCTAAGCTGCAAAGCTTGTACCAGGATAAGCTGTAATTCATTAAGCTACACAGACAGGGTAGAGGGAGGTGGAGAGGGGGGGTGGAGAGGGGGGGGGCATGCTGAGTTTGCCATGCTCTCCTGAGTCTGGGTGAAAGGACGAGTGCAGGGAAAGAGGCTGTTGGGAGGCGGGGGGGGTGGCACTGCCTCCCTCTGCAACTGCTCGAGCTTCTGCCACGTTTGGCAATTTCACAAAAATCCACCCGTGACGCAGGACTTAGCTGCCCACTTAGTTTGTGCACTTCACCTGAAATAACCCCGGGCCCTTGACGCATGCATTACATAAAAGTTACCATAGTCATCGCAAAGCCATTTCCTTTGGATCCTTATCGATTCACTGCCGAGGTGTTTTGATCTGACCTGCCAGAATATCCACACTAAATTGGAGCAGAAGGCCCGGAGAATGTTGCTCATTTTGTGCGATTTAGTGTCCTCGATGCGTGTGCAGGGCGCCCCGCCGAGCCCACCCACCTGTAGCCCAGATCCCGGCTCTGCTGGACCATGTGCAGGATGTAGGACTCTCGGCTGGTGCCCGTCAGACCGGGCAGCAGGAGGACCGTGGGCCTCGCGGCAGGGTCCGGGTGAGAGGCGCTGTCGTCGTTGTCGAACCAATCCAGGGAGATCTGTCCTCCATCCGCTCCTTTAATAAGCTCACTGCGGAGACGGGCGAGAGTATCCGAATATCATCTCTGCGTGTCCACTCAAACACACATGCAAACACTCCAGAGAACCCTGGGAGGCAATTAATGATTCCTCTTCAGCTCCGGGGGGGGAAAGTGACTACTTCCGTGCATCAAACTCCTCCGAAGGGGATGTGGAGATGTGAGTGGAGCGCTCCCTTACATCTACCAGCGCGTTGAGATAAGGAGGTCAACCGATATCTGGGTTACACAAGCCCAGCCGGGCCGATGGGGTCATTCAATCTCCGGTGGTGGTGCATTTAGAAACCTGCACTTCACGCGCGCGCACACACGCACACACGCAGTCACACAAAGCAGGCAGTGGGCCAACTTGTAGCAGCATTCGCGTGATATTACAGAACCGCCATGAAATATGCATCTCGGGCCGGATTTTAAAGTCAGCGCGGGCCAAGGCGGAAGACGAGAGGACGGAGCGGCCGCTAACTCGGAAGATGAGATGAGTGGACGTTCATCCACGGCGGCCGAGGACGAATAGGACAGTTTTCACACGGGCGTCCTCGGGTCAACCTCCGGGAACTTCACTACCATTCGGAGGAGGGGTGGGGGGGACGTCCTGTTGTCCCCGCAGGAAATGTGATAATAACTCGAGTGAATGTTACACCGCGTGATAACATGCAGCTGGACTGAGATGCATCATGGGAATTTTGTGTATCCTTTACTGAGGAGAGTGTAAGAATCCGAGGCAGCGTGAATGTAATTGGGGCGGACGAACGATGACACTGACGATTCGGCCGAGGGTTTCAGAGCTCGATAATCATGGTTGATTAAAAGCCTGTATTTGAATGTTTCCTGCAGTAAAGGCAAACTATTTTTATTTTCTATTTTTACTACATCGGGTAACTTGCTGACAAAGATCAAATTGGCGAAGACACACGTACAATTTATACCGTACAATGTGCACACACACTCAACAGGCATGTGTGAATACATTCAAGAAAGCTACATGTGAGCATGTTGTATGACTAATCATGTAATAAACAGTAATAATGGAAAATAAGTATCTTAATTCATTATAATCTCCATTCTGTGCACAGGGGGGGGGCAAAGAATGGGGTGGCAATTAATCTCCAACGCAGGGAACAGTATCAAGGAGCGAGCGGGGCGGCCCAAGCCGGCGTCGTGGCACAAAAGAATTCTTTCTCCCTTCTGAGCCCTCGGCTAAGAACAAGACTGGGATCTGTTCCCAGTTGTCGAACTGGTAAGAAAGATTCAAGAAACGCACATCAGCATCTCTCACTGTGGGTGACAGTGTTTCGCATTCCCTGTGGATCACAAGAACCAGATGGCTGACTTTCAGCTGCAGCTTTCCAGCACGCTGCTCTTATCTCATGCACATTGTGACCAGGGGAAGGGTTCATGGGGAGGGACTGACTTTCTGTAGACGACCCCGGGTTTGGCGGTGACGAAGGGTCTCAGCAGAGTCTGGATGCGGCTCTCCCAGCACCAAAAGGTGGGGTAGTAGGTCTCTGACACCACCGGACATTGCTCCCTCAGGAAGTGGTAGAACTTCTTACCCCCGGAGATGAGCTGCGGCTTCTGCAAAAGCGATCAAAGTGTTGTTGTTGTTGTTGTTGTTTTTTCACCACAGGGATTCATTTGAGGGAGTTATTTAACATGAAAGCACATCAACTGTTGTAATATTGTCATATATTTGGGAGAAGAAAAAACATAATAATATTGAACTCAACGTTTTTTCCGTCTTTTCTCATTTCCATTCCTATTCTAAACCCAATAAATGCATTCCGTTAATAGTAGATTAGATTAGATTAGATTAGATTCAACTTTATTGTCATTGCACAGGGTACAAGTACTGAGGCAACAAAATGCAGTTTAACATCCAACCAGAAGTGCAAATAGTATGTGCATATATGTAATAAGTGAATAAATATATATGTACATTAATATAATAATAATAATAATAATATTCCGTATTAGTGAATGTGAGTTACAGCCTTCTATCCGAATGAATGACGGCACTGACCGTTACGTCACCTCAAGCGTGCTCATTGTCGCGTGCATGCTTTTTTTGTTTGTTACATAAGTGTTGCACCGGGCACCGTTAAATATATTTTTTTAACTTGTCTTATCTTTCCGAAAACATGTGCCTGCGTAAAGCCTTATCGGTGCACCGGCCGAGTGACATCATCGCTGATGATGACGAGGATGCAGATGACGACGATGCAGGCGATGATGATGCTCTAACGCGAACAGCTCAATGCACATACGAGGCGATGCGGCTGCGATCAGCCGGTTTCCGGGGTCACTAACCGTGAATAAACGTGACTTACCTTCGCTACCGAGAGCAGATAGTAGCAGGTGTACGCGGCGCTGAAGCCCAGCACCAGAGACAGCCCGACCCCCGATCCGAACAGCCCGACTTTCACTTGGTTCTCCAGATAATGTGACAGATCCCTCGTCCAAATGTTGAAATTAAAGTCCAGCGAGATCATCGCAAGGTCCCGGGGTTTTCCTCCCCGTTATTCCCCCTGTGCTGAGAGGACAGCCGGCCGGTCTCGCTTGTGAAAAGTCAGCGGCGTGCGCCTGCGAGCCCGCCGTGAAGAAGACAGTCAAGGGGACCAGAGGTGGTTCGGGTTTATATAAACATGTGCGTCGGCGAGCGGCGGCGCTCTGTGGCACGGCGGGGTGCGCAGCCGCCGCCTCGCGAGTCGGGCGGTTTGTCGCCCCCTGCCGGCGGGGGAGGGGAAGCGCACCATGCGGCGCTTGCAGCTCCTGCAGCTTCTCTTCAGTGCCTCCCGGTGGGCAGTAAGTGTGCCCCCCCCCCCCCCCCAACCCAGAAAACCATAACAATTAAATCCAGACTTGCGAAGGAAGGGCTGGGACATTATTGGAAAAGCCTTTTGAAAGAAAAAAATGATCAGGGATTTGGCGCAGTGGCAGTCGCCAGTGGAACTAGATTAACAACCAAAGGCAAAGCGTGGAAACGGCCCCTCCCAGGGGCTGCAGACTCTCAGGGGGCCTAACTCCTGAAGGTTCCCTATATGGCAATTAGTTAGTGGTAATTGAATTAACTGAGTACACATACTGTATGCAACATTATAACTGAATGATAGGATCGTTTAAAGCAACACCTATTGTTATCTCTTAATATTGGGGCCGTTATCCTGAGAGTTAAGGTTTATGTTTAAGTCATTGCAAAAATGTTGTTCACGTTGGGCTCTGGATTACTTACGCAAAACACAGTGGGGTGATAGTCCACCATAAACGTTATTCACGGTATCTGTGAGTCTGAGATGTCTTGCAAAAATCATTGAGTAGAATTAGCAATAGAGATGTTCCCATTTTAAGTTAATACTGGTTAAAGATGAACAACAGGCCAAAAATCATTTTAAAAAATCGAATTTTTCAAATCAAATCCTTTTAACATGCTCTGAGAATTTATTTTTGTCTTAATTGTTAATTCTTATGCACATGGACTTTTTATATGCCTCTGGAAACATGACACACTTTAACTTGTTTTTGATATCATGATTGAATAATAAATAACTATATTCAGGAAAAAACATTACATTGCATAAAAACTCCAATCCATTCACTCATACGATCTTGTGGTCTTTTACACACTTATGCAGCTATTTTGCCTGTTGTTCGGATCTCTTTTATTCACGAGTATTTTAATTAATGTCTGGTGCCATCAACCTAGAGCGCTGTAATGTTATCACCATAAATCCAAAATGTAGCAAACAATGTATGAGCGGATGCCTTCATACGCATTCCAATGTTCAGTTTTTAGTATGTACTTGTCAATGAGGGTTTGTATACTACATGTTTCCATATCTAGGTTAAATGTATGCATATTTCCTATGTGCGAAAGAATAATCAAAAGATATATATATATATATATTTTGTTCCATTAATCAACTAAAACATTTATAATTGTGTATGTCCAGTAGTTCACTTATTTGTGCACGCTAGATTAGGACTGGTTACTTTAAATGTGAGAATTTTACCTCACAATTATCAGTCTCCGTCTTCATCATTGACGTGTAAAATACTGAGATTATGTTTTGCATTCACGAACAGCTGGAAAGGGTCTTTGCGCGTCGCGGATGCGCATGCGCGCCGGACTCGTTCTTGTTTTCCCGAGCCGAGCCGCGTCTTCGGGCTTTGTCGTTAACCTCCGTAGCTAGTTGTTGCTCGTCTGGGGTCTGAACGATGATTGACAATAATGGCGACGCGTTTATTCTGAGTTGACTCCAGGGAACCCTCTCTGGTCGACAAAGGGAGCGTCTTGGATGGATTTTTTCTGCTCGACGGAAGAAAAAAAACCCACCGACAGGACTACATTCGCATTGAACGGAAAGGACTTGCTAGCCGGGAGAGGGTTATCCTGCTAGCATTGCGATAGCTAGCAACTCTGCTCGCTAGCTTGCTAAGTTGAAGAGGTGGCATTCTTGTGTGTGGAGTGGAGGAGAGAGACAGACAGCTTGCTGGGTACTCGTATCTGGCTCATCCAGCAATGTGGCTACTTAACATGCTTTTGGGCTAGCTTTTACTTATCCTTCTCTAAGGCAACGCCGATGAGGCGCTGGCTCGCACCTCACGTTAGCTTGTGGGGATAGTTTTTTTAGGAGGGTTTAACAGCCTCCTTAGGTAGCTTATTTAGCTAGCGGGCTAGCTTTTTGGGGGGGGGGGGATTGTTCCAGTGTCTTTCCTGTTGGGACTCGCTCGCGCTGGCATTTGGAAACAGTCGAACAAGCGCACCGATTGCCTTTCACATCTTGTTAACAATCGCCACTGCACGTCCCCTTTTTTTAAATATATATATATATACGCAAGATGACCACCGGCAGGAATAACCGAGCGATGATGGAAGGAGTAGGAGCCAGAGTGGTCCGCGGACCCGACTGGAAGTGGGGGAAGCAGGACGGTGGAGAGGGTCACGTTGGCACCGTGAGGAGTTTTGAAAGTCCCGAGGAGGTGGTGGTTGTCTGGGATAACGGGACGGCCGCTAACTACCGCTGCTCCGGAGCTTACGACGTGAGGATATTGGACAGTGCTCCAACAGGTAAATGACTCTAACTTCTGTCGGTTCGCCGGTTCCCGGAGCGACAAGTGTCGGTCGATGCGTCGTACTTTGGTTTGTGCCGGTAGAAACAACAATAATAAAAGTTGTTGTTATTTATTTATTACATTATTGCAGTAAAGCAAGCGGTCGCTTCCATTCAAAAATCGCTGAGTTGTTGAAGACACTTTCATTGTGTACAATTCCCGGAAACACACAGGATGTATTATATATATATATATATATATATATATATATATATATTAATTATATCCTGTGTGAACAGGTGTTTCTATGTACCAGGCAGCACCAGTCAAGATATGCAAATACGCTGTGAGAGATAGATCAAAGTCAAGAACATGTGATAAAAAATTACAAGAAAACATTGTCAACATTTCAACATAAACGTATATAGCATGTAAACGTAAAAAGTGTCCATGCTTACTTTTTCAGTCCTGGTTCTTTAAGAATTTTCATTGAAGTGAAAACCAGTATAATTTTACATTGTTTCATTGTTTTGTTGTACTTAAAATTGTTTTAGAGGCAACTACTTGGTGATACTGTAAATAAATACATATTGCAATAATTCATTTGGTCTCTTTTGGCTTCACAGATCTTTTATTTAAAGTAAAATCTTCATATTGCCACCATTTCTCCACATCTCCTGTGTCAACACACAGTGACAATTTCCAGCTGGCGTCCCGTTGACTGGTTCCATTCATTTCCATATAGCATCATCTGATGATGCAGATTTGTGATAAGGAGCAAGATATTTGGGTGATTCTTAACATGATCCTGTAGTATCAACTACATCTTGAAAATATGTGATTTATGCCCGTAGCACCAAAATGAGTAGGGCTTTTTTAGTACAAATATATCCCCGTATGTAGTGTGTGTATATATATATATATATATATATATATATATATATATATATATATATATATATACACACACAATACTTTTCGTGCATACTTAATGTAAATATTTTTAATAGTAAAAGTCCTCTCCAGTAGTATCTCCAATTAAATGCTGTGGGCGACAAAAAACATCAGCCATTCTTTATAATGTAGACTAATAGTGCCTCCCCCTCCCTCAGGCATCAAGCATGACAGAACCATGTGTGACACCTGCCGTCAACAGCCCATCATTGGTATACGCTGGAAATGTGCTGAGTGCACCAATTACGACCTTTGCACAACCTGTTACCATGGAGACAAGCATCACCTGAGACATCGCTTCTACAGGATCACCACCCCAGGCAGTGAGCGGTAAGCTAACATGTTTAGCCTCACTTTAGACCATTGATATGATAGACACAAGTTTGCCAGGTAATCCATGCATTTAGTTGTGTCTGGTGGCCTTTAGTCCGTCCTTGTGTTCCTGTGTGTGTGTGTGTGTCTGTGTTACTGTGACATTTGAGAGGTATTTTGTGCACGCTGTCTCTCAGGCAGACGGCATCTATCTCTATGCTCCCAACCCTCAGTTGCCAGGCAACAACTCAGCCTTGTTTTAAGATCCAGTTTTACCTTAGTAATAACATTAAATACAGCAGTTATAACAAGTTTTTCACTACATCACTATGCAGGAAAGTTTCACGTTTGACATTATAAGACTTACAAGTGTGTATTAACTGTCTCCGATGTCACCGATCATTTAATAATATAAAGTGTAACACCGTACTTGTCTAAACCAGTGTTTTAATTTGATTTAATCTCAGCTGGGGGCTACAATGATCTCTTGTGCTTAAAATTGTATTCATTTATAACTATTTGCCTCAGTCAAGTTCTGTCACTCAAACAGCATTGAATCAGCGTGGAGCCTTATTGCTTTCTCTATGTGTAAAACTACAATTCAATGAACTCCGTTATTAAAATGCATTTTGGTGTGTTACGCTCGGAAGACAGCGCTAGGTTTACTGTAAAGCTTCCTCTGGAACGTAAGACATTACTGTTGTGGTTGATCATGCTTTCAGCCGCATGTGGGTGATATGTATCTATCCTCAGGCCATATTGTCAAAAAACAAAGACAGTTCTGGTGGACACAATGTCTTAGGCAGGGTGTGTGGACAGCAGATTCATACTTGCCAATTAATACATGTGGAGACAAGATTGAGTCAGATTGTTGAGGGCGGCTTTCCCTTTTCTTTAGAGATGCGCTTCCCATAGCAGGAAAACAAGCAATACAATCAATTACTGATGTGGCTCAAAGATCTTGAATGTATTATTTTTGAAGTGATTCTGAGTAAGCACGCTCATCAAATTCCACAACTTGCATTTGATTGTGCTTTTGCAAAGCGCGTCGTTACTGTGAGGATGCTTCATCTGTTTCGACCCCATGCCATCATTTAATGAAATGAACACATGGCCCCACAGCTGGCCGCCTTTTCAAACGAGTACGACTACATCTCCCCCGAGACAGACGTTGCATAATGCACAATGGGTGCTGGAGGTCTCCCCAGCTCGAACCGCTGCCCACTGGGGTGTTTTGTTACACCGCATTAGAGGGAGGGGCCAGAGGCCCACGATCGCATCGGTTGGACCCTCACAGTGCAGCTGTTGTGTCTACCGGCAGGACTCACACTTGTTTGATGCTTAGAGCTCAGCTATTCATCGCTATTCCCACCTCATTAGTTGGACTTGCAGCATTATAGTGAATGAATGTTTTGTGAATGAATGTTTGTGTGAATGAATGTTTTCATTTGCATGTGCAGTGCCGCTCTTGGTTGGTTTGGTTGTGAATGGAAGGAATTGTCAGTGAGGAGTGAACGCCATGTCATTGCAATGTTTACTGTCGTTCGTAATGTTACAAGTTACAACAGGACGCCTGCGGCTCACACCAGCAGGTTCGCCCGAATTTAACTGCATGAAAATACCACACCTAAAGGCAATAGAAAAGTTAAAAAGCTCGCCCATATGCCCCGCACATCAGTGCTGATGTTTACAACTCCAACAAATGGTTTTGGTTTGATTTGTTTTGCTGTCATAAAATATCAGCTGATGATTGCTAGGGACCGTGTGGTTGCTACAGCAGATAAGATGTTGTTATGGACCCCCGCAGCGGGGTTTTGATCTGCGGCCCGTTTGCCGAAATAAATTCACACCATTGTCCCGCAGCGGTAGGCAGTTAAGAACACCAGGTATCAGGAGTGAGGCGGCGTCTCTGGGGTTGTCTCTGTCTCTCGTATAAACGGAGGTCCTGTTAACATCTCCTCTTGAATTCTCTGACAGTATCCAATAAGGGTTCGAAGCTTAACCAAAATAAAAATAAATTGTTTGTTCTTTTAATCTGAATAGAGTTCTTTTGGAGTCACGTCGCAAGTCAAAGAAAATCACAGCCAGAGGGATCTTCACTGGTGGCCGGGTTGTGAGAGGAGTGGACTGGCAGTGGGAAGACCAAGATGGAGGCAACGGAAGGAGAGGAAAGGTAATAATAATAAACTGTTAATATTGCACCTTTTAAAAAAAAGAAAAGAGCCTACAAAGTGTTTTTACGGACAAGGAAAGCGAATAAAATGACAGAAAGCTCAGCAATGAAGCCCGACAAACCAATGAAATAAATTATTGAGAACAAACTAAAAATGCAATATCAATAGTAATCAATGCTTTATTAGTCCCTCATCCCACACAATTGTGATGCTGGGCAAATTTGTGCAATGATTCTAATCTCCAAAGAAGGAGGACAGGAGAGGTTCTCTAATATGCGGTTTTCTGTTTATATCAAGTCAAATAGGACCTGGACCAGTGCTCCAAACATCTGTCCAGCTTCACTATTTCTCATGTAGTGAAAAAACACGAGAAACTTTTTGTTTCCAAAGAGCTTCTCCTGCCTTCAGCCACTCAGAGTTGGCAGTGGACAAGGCATGAAGCTCATAAGTGAAGAAATCAAGACAATAATCCTTTTTCAGTGAGGGGAAAACTTTTCAGCTGGTCAGCTTTTTGTTTTAAATTCACAGCTGCTCATTTAAGTGGATAATAAATCCCTGGTGAGGCCGAGTGAGTGAGCCCGATGGAGGCCATCACAACCACACGTGTGTGTGTGTGTGTGCTGCTGATGGGGCGTGAGCACTCGAAAGGGAAAAAACAAACTTGCATCTCAGGATATGATTCGATCTATAATGTGCACGAGCCTCAACCAAAACAGGAAGTGGATGCGCTGACTTAACGTATGTTTGTGTGTGTGTGTGTGTGTAGCACGGAGGGGTAGCAGGCGAGCAAAGACACAGTCGGGTCCTCCGGTGCCTCGTAAAGCTTTGTTTCTACTCACACAAACCTCCGCAGATGCTGCACGAGCTCCGAGCAGCACAGAGGCGTTTCTATTCTGCACGCCGTTCGCGAGTGTAAACCATAGAAACGCACACTAGGTGTAAATAAAGCCCCAAACCACTCTCCACAATGTAGCAGAGGGGTTGTACTAATCAATAAGCTCATATCTCGTATTCACAGACTACTTCATGGTCGGCACACACCCGTGTAAAAGAACAAATATTAAATATTAAGTTCAATTTGAGCAGCTATAGTCGATACATTCAAACTGATTGGTTTTTAAAGTCCTGTTGACAACACATTGTGCGCAAGTCAACCTCTTATCAGAATACAATATACATTTGCATTAGAAATAACAGTCTCTGGAAAAACCTTCAGGCCTTCGTTTAATGCTGCCGGCTCTATTTATGAGGCTCCTGAGGCTATAAAGAAAGCTCCGGACTGCAGGTTAGTCCAGGCTCAAATGCATTATTAGAAAGTAATGAATACTATGTTGGATGATGTTGCATTTGTCCTGCTCAGCCTATTTTTATACTATAAATGTGCCGTAAAACACTTGTATTTTGCGTGTTCCTCCAGGCAACTTAACTTAAATTGGCTGTGTTATTTAATGGCATATCTCATGTTGTGTTTTATGATGCTGTAAGCAATATGCTCTCCATAGATCTTTGGTTAGTTTAGCATGAATATAACTCCCCCAAAGCTTAAAAAAAATAATTTCATTTTTTGGTTTCTGTACTCCAGGCACAGCTTTTTAATGAAATAATAAATTGAATCTTCTCTTGACACTTTCTCGATACAACGAAAGAGTCGTTTCTGTGAGAATTGTCTTGTGTTAAAATCCCGAACCCCTCTTCCAAATACGAATTGATTTTTCTGTCCCCAATTCGTAGCTCATTGCTTATTTATGCCAATAACACTTTAAGTTCCATATAATCATAACTTACCGTGACCTTACTTGTTTTGCGCCAATGGCAGTGAGCTGACCTGAATACAGAAGTCGGTCATAATGTAACACAACAAGTACTAAGTGAAGTAAAGCCTGAGTAGAACCGCAGGAGACAGAAGTTTTCATGCAGGACCAGCAGAGGGGTTCAATGGTCCAACCCAGTAAGGAGAGCAGCACTTTCCTTTCTTTCTGAGCAACTAGTGTTTGTTTTTTACTTAAATGTGAAAAAAAAGGTTAGTAGGAAGAAGTTTAATGACGGAGATGATTCATTTTTAGGATTCTGTGATGATAGGGTTGTTTTTTCTTTATGAAGGCTTGTTCATTTTGTGACGATCGGTGTTTAGTGAAACAGTGCGAGCCTGAAATCGATGGATCAAAAAATGCTTAGAGCTCGTCAGTATATTTCAAATATCTGGCTCTATAATTTATAATGCTGCTCATGCTGACATAAACATACTAGGATGGCAGTTTAGATCCCCACCCTGGCTGTAAATGGATGGAACCTGAAACGTTTTGTACGACTCTCATTCTGCATCGACTTTAAATGTCCACAATTGAGACTCTCTGACGTAAGAGCGACGGGGCCGTTTGGCCCCCGCGAGCATGGCCAGAAGACATTGTACCTCTCCACCAGAGAACCCCCCTCCCCCGGCTGCGTTAGCAGACATATGGTCTGTGAACAGGCAACTGAACACTTCCTCTCCTCTTGGGTTGCTGTGCTGTATTTCAACCTTCAAGCCGCCCTTTAGTTTGAAAAGATCAAACCCCTACAGGGATCAATAAAGTGTCATATTCACTTCACTCGTTATGAGGATTCAAGATGAAAAACAACGGCTTGAAAGCTCCCATGAAGAAAACGATCCCTTCTGGTCGATACTCTATTTTTAAATGCAAAATACTTTCCGTTTACATCCGGGCAATCATTTGTCACTAATTTAGGAGTAAAACTCAAAGGTGCCCTTTTCTAATAATCATTCTCGTTTTCACCCCTCCTCGCCCACCTCCCCATCCTCCACCAGGTGACGGAGATCCAGGACTGGAGTGCGGCCAGTCCTCACAGCGCTGCCTACGTACTGTGGGACAATGGGGCCAAGAACCTGTACCGAGTTGGCTTTGAGGGAATGGTGAGCAAACTTCCAGCTTGACCCTAACCCCCCCCTCCCCCCACACACACACACACACAGAGTCTCACAAAAGATCAGCTGGCAGGTGGCTTTTGTCTCTGTCCGGCGGGCTGGGGCTCTTTCTTTTGCTGCCAGGCCTTTGTGAGAGCCACGCAGCCGGCGTGAGCAAGGCACAATTGTACAGGCAGCTGGAAGGGGAAGGTATCTACATGATAAAGGCAAGCTGTTCTTCATGCTTTTCAAGGGAGGGATGAACACAGAGGTTAGCTTTTGGTGGAGGGGGGGCGGGGGGCAGGCATCCTCTTTGAGGTTGCCGCAGACACGCGTGTCTCAATTGAGAAGCGGCCTCCTCATTGGTCGAGGCGCCCCCTTCCTTTTTTACGAATGAGGCCAATCAGGTTTCTCGGTTGCATAACAGATCTGTCCTTTGTTATTTTAACAGGCTGGTATGGAAGTAGTTGGCATCTGCCTCTGGGTTGACCGTTTCACTTTGGCTTTACTTTTATGCTGAATGATCAAATTCTGCAACAAAAAAAAGCTACAGAGCTACTTACACATTCACTCATCTTAAGAACCTGCCCCTGTTAAGTAATGTCCGGTTTGTGCTCACAGCATCATAAGATTAAAAGCGTCTTGCTGGCTGGATGCAGTAGGTGAGACTTGAGTTATTTATTTGTCGGGACTTGTTCCACTCTTTGCCCTCCAACTCTGCCACAGTGGCTGCGCATCTGAGTCATCGTAAACGATGTGATGCCGTCTCTGTGTAGCCATGAGTTTCATTGTCCTGCCTCGCCCTTAGGGCACTGATATCGTTGGTATTCCAGGCGTCTTCACTGACGCCACAGCATAAAGTGAGTAACTTGTCTGTGTCATTATTCATGGTCGCCCTGCCCCTCCTCTAATGTGATTACCGCGGGTCATTATCTAACCGCCTCCTTCTTTTCTCTCTCAGTCGGATCTGAAATGTGTCCAGGATGCCAAAGGAGGCTCTTTTTACAGAGACCACTGTCCCGTTTTAGGTAAGGAAGCCTGCAATCCCGGACCACCGTCACTACTGCACCAATTCTCTCACCTATTGTTCTGGTGCAGTGAATTCAAGGGCATTAGTGGAGTTTCACTTGTAGTTGATGCTGTTTGGCCACTAGGTGGCGACGCTACACAGTCCCCCTGTCTGCCAAAGCCGAGTAGTATTCCCGAGAGTATTCCCAGAGCTCCAGGAATAAATTGTCTTACTGGATTCAACAATGCAGCAATAGTCTCTCATTGCATTTGAAAGTGTTAATATTCACAAAAAGCAACACCTTTTTTTATGCATTTCCATATGACACATGTGTGGTTTAAAAACACCCACCAAAACAAATAATAGAAATAAATGTGCAATTTGGGATTCATTTGTTTCAAATGTTAAAACAGTAATAACAATAGTAAAAAGGTTTGTAGTTCTATTTATTTACATATTTTCTTTCTCTAAACCGTGTTTCTCCAGATTCAACACTGTTGGTGTGTAATACACTTCCTTTTGACACACCTTTTTATTAACGCAAATGTTACTGTTTACCGTAATCTCCCAGGTGAGCAGAATGGCAACAGAAATCCCGGCGGGCTCCAGATTGGAGACCTGGTCAACATCGACTTGGACCTGGAGATCGTTCAGTCCCTCCAGCATGGCCACGGCGGGTGGACCGACGGCATGTTTGAGACGCTCACCACCACCGGCACCGTGTGCGGCATCGACGAAGATCACGACATTGTCGTCCAGTACCCCAGTGGGAACAGGTGAGGCCCCCGGTGGAGCGGCTCAGATCTATTGTACTCTGTTCTTGCCCACGTGTCATATTTTATAAATTGTGAGTAAAATAAGTCCAAATAGCTGAACGCATTCATCCGTGTACCCTCAGGTGGACGTTCAACCCGGCCGTCCTGACGAAGGCCAACGTGGTGCGCAGCGGCGACGCAGCAGCCGGGGCGGAGGGAGGCACTTCCCAGTTTGTAGTGGGAGACCTGGTCCAGATCTGCTACGACATCGACCGCATCAAACTGCTCCAAAGAGGCCACGGAGAGTGGGCCGAGGCGATGCTCCCCGTAAGTACACAGCGCCCGTTTGTCTGTTGCTCTCGACACAACTTTATTCCTCCCTTATTACGAAGTTTCTACACTGCCGCCCAGCGCGCCTTAGGCTATGTGACGCCAGTCTACTTCAATACGCCCCTTGTTCCTGCCAAACTGGCCCCCCCTCAGCATGTAATGAGCCTCTAAAACGTGGAGATGGGATGTAGCTTTGATCACTAACCCCCGGCCTGTTGATGGCATCGTCCCGGACAGACCCGGTCCCGGCTCCACTCCGAGCGCCTCGTTCTCATACAGCCACGATCGAGACGATGCTATTAAAAATGGGAAAGCATTCTGCTCGGTCGTCTTAGTATTGGCTGTATAGATGAGCAATAGTCGAGCCAGTAGAAGGTTTCAGTTTCTTTCATACCTATCTTGTTTCTGGTGAAAGGAAATGTCTTCTGAATAATGACAACAAATCCAAAATCTGTAATATATATTTTTTCTTATTCTGTTGAGTTGTATTTTCTGCTCTGGGTTTGGGCGATCGCTGTATGGAGTTTGTATTCTTCTGCCTTATCTTCCTTCTCTCTGTCCTTCATATAATGCTCCCTCCGTCTTTCCTCTAACGAACAAATATATACTATATACTAACGGGTTTGTCGCAACGTTTACCATCAGACCCTCGGCAAAGTGGGCCGCGTGCAGCAGATCTACTCCGACAGCGACCTGAAGGTCGAGGTTTGCGGAACGTCTTGGACGTACAACCCCGCCGCTGTCACCAAGATCGCCCCGTCTGGCTCTGCCGTCAGCAACGCCTCCGGAGGTATGTACGAACAAGCGACGCCGACGTGTAGAGGGTCTACGTCATAGGCCCCCTGTCCTCCAACACCGGCACGCAATCACCCTCTTATCTCCTCCCTCCCCTCGGCCAGAGCGCCTGTCCCAGCTGCTGAAGAAACTGTTTGAGACTCAGGAGTCCGGAGACATCAACGAGGAGCTGGTGAAGGCGGCGGCCAACGGCGACCTGGCCAAAGTCGAGGACATCCTAAAGAGAGCGGATGTGGATGTAAGTGCTCGTCACAAGCTGCTTCTTTTTTTTTTTTAAGAACATCCATTTGGCCATTGAATATTTGCGAAAAGATCTTGAGTACACTGATAATAAGGTGGAATGTCCCTGGCTGAGCTCTGCTCTGCACTCAGTATATCAAGGAGGCTGAGGGTCACCTAAGAAACAGCTTTGCGACCCTCCCATCGGCACATCTCTCAAGCTGCAAAGCATTACGGCCCAGAGGAGGTCCTGAGGAGCAGCGCTGTGCACTGCAGCACAGAGCCGATTCACCCGTATAGGTTATGGGAACTGGTTACGTCAAGTCCGCAACACTGTCCTCCCTCAGAGATCAAACAGCGAGTGAATGTGTGTGTGTGTGTGTGTGTGTGTGTGTGTGTGTGTGTGTGTGTGTGTGTGTGTGTGTGTGTGTGTGTGTGTGTGTGTGTGTGTGTGTGTGTGTGTGTGTGTGTGTGTCTCAGTGGTGAAGGCTGGCCAGATGCCCTACTCCCTTTCAGTGGAATTATTTGCTTAAAGCCGGGAACACTAAGCCTGGCCAAGTGATCTGCCTGCCAGGACAAGAGACGTCTCGAGACTCCCAAAGGAGTCCGCATTAATATTTATGGTCCCGAGTTTTTTGCAGTGCTGCAGTTGCTGATGAAACACGCATGCACGCACGCACGCACGCACACAGAGACGCGCGTACAAGCTCTTAAACACGCCATGGCCCCGCATCCCAACGGCTAATACAGACGACGCACGTCTGAACATGGCGCATGACTTCTACGTGTTCTGCCTCTCGATGTGTTGACAGGTGAACGGGCAGTGTGCTGGACACACTGCCATGCAGGCGGCCAGTCAGAACGGTCACGTGGACGTCCTCAAGCTGCTGCTTAAACACAACGTGGATCTGGAGGCCGAGGTTCGTACAATCAAACACTTACTTTTGAGTGCCTTTTTCGTTATGTAGAAAACGACCTCATTCTGCTGTGTCACTGTGCTCAGGACAAAGATGGCGACCGGGCAGTGCACCACGCCGCATTTGGCGATGAGGGCTCTGTCATTGAGGTGCTGCAGAGGGGCGGCGCTGACTTGAATGCCAGGAACAAACGACGGCAGACTCCATTACACATAGCTGTCAACAAGGGACACCTGCAGGTGGTCAAAACCCTGCTGGACTTCGGCTGCCACCCCAGCCTTCAGGTATCTGCGACTTCTTTATCTACCTATTCTGTGGCAGCAGAGAGGTCGCTCTGTGCACGGTTCGAATCACAGATTAGCACGGGAGGAGAAAGTGACACCAGGTTCCCTTTTTAGGATTCCGAGGGGGACACACCGCTGCATGACGCTATAAGCAAGAAGAGAGACGACATGCTGTCTGTGCTGCTGGAGGCCGGTGCTGATGTCACCATCACCAACAATAATGGCTTCAACGCCTTGCACCACGCTGCCCTCCGTGGAAACCCCAGGTACGAGACCCTGTCACGCTCTCCCGCCTGCTGTCACAACCTTTTAGCTCGGTGCAGACATGCTGTATCACTATCTCACCTGCCTTCTCAAAAGCCTTCTATAATTCTCTTGTCCACACAATGATTCTTTCTGGACGGATTCAGCATTTACTGAACTGGAAAAAGGATTTCACAGTGCGTTTAAAAACTAGCAATCGAAAAATCTGATTGGACTTTTTAGCCCAAATAACAAATGTGCACCAGGCTCTTGATTTTATGTGACAGTTGCAACACATATTTTCACTGCCAAAGATGGGTGGAACCACAGCCGCCACCCTAATCTGTTACTACTAATCCTTTACTTAATCATCCTCCGCCTGAATGAAAGATGTGGCCTCACCACCTGCAGGACTAGGACTAGGTCGGCTCACTGACGTAAATCCTCCAAACTGTGTCAAACGATGGCACTTCAGCACGCGACTTCAATGTCACAAATCACATTTCGTGCTACATTTTCCTGGGAACACTTTTGGTTGAAAGTGCCCCCAGGAAAATATGCAAAAGTGTCAGCCTTTTCAAAGACGTGTTATGTAATACGCTGCTGCGTCGCTTCTTATAATTCTCCAATAGTCTAAAACGACAGTACATCCTAAATAAATCAAATGGATATTTGGATATAATGGGAGGTTCTTCCACAGATTCTGCCTCAATTTAAAATGACTTTAAAGCCGTTAAACTAGAGAGAAGTTAAATTCCACTACCTCGCTGATCACATTTTATCCTGCCATACAATTCACTGGGATCTCAATTTAGTTTGACATTCATTGAAGTTGGAAGCGGGCCTTCAGGCTTCATCCATCTCCCCCAACAGATGGTATGGTCTCAAGTTGACATCAGACTTCCTTTAAGGCCTTGAAAGCATCTGCCTTACACTGCATCTTCTTCTTTTTTTTTTATCAGTGTAGTTAATGGCGCTTGAAGTTCATTTGTTGTGTCTTTTTACTGTTGTGCCGGTCCGTGGCCGTGTGGTGTGAGCAGAGGCCGGCATGAAGCAGCAGGCCGCTCGCCTCGTCCTCGGCCGTCGCTGTGTCTCTCCGCTCCACTCTCTCGCCTTTACTTCATTCTTGTCTCCCCACCGTGAGCATATGAGAGACGGCGGTCCCGTATCCCGTTGTTCATCCGGCCCTCTTCAATTGGCGGTCGCTGTCGCAGAGAAGTGACCATCTGCGCTTCCCGTGTGTGCGCCTACGGTTGCGCATTAGCACGGTTATCACGGGCTGAATGTTAGCCCCCACCTCCGACCCCCCCTTTCACTGGCATTTATTCGTTTGGCACGAGGACAAATGGAATTGAGGTCAGAGGGGTGTGGAAAAGCTGCCACCTGCCACAAGCCCGGCCAGACGCAGCCCTCTGACGCGCTGCGGAGGAGAAGCCGGTGCCGGTTTCCGGTGTGCCGCACGGAACCGCTGGTTTCCAGATGATCCAAAGACTAACGGCTGCTTATCAAACTTTAAAGGCAAGACAGTGCTGACAAACAGAACATATAGGAGACATTATGAACTGCAGAAAAGTTTAAAAATGCACTAATTATTAAGAATAGGGATTTTAAACCTATTTTACCATCTTCATGAAAGATTAGCAGCGTTTCCGACTGATCTCCCTCAGAAGGTCATTTCACAGCTGATGATCCGATAAATTATTGAATTAATTAAATGTGATCATATAGATGAGTCCGTCAGATTAATCCAGAGCTTAATTTTTAGTAATTATACCCACTAACAAATGCATATCACACACTTTAAGGTCTGTGTGGAAAATAATGTTACGACCGCTCTGTCCTCTCTTATTGCAAAGCCTTTAAACCTTATCAAATAATAGTGCACTTATTTAGGAAAGTTCACCGACTGGCACAGTGTAAACACAACTGCACAAAGTGTGTAATGTGTGTATGTAGGCCGGGATTCAGAGCAAAAACTGCAGGAAACTGCTCCACTGTGGCGTGTGTTCGTTTAGCGACGAGGAGTTTTAGAATTTTACCAGCGTGTGTGTGTGTGCGTGTGTGTGTGTGCGTGTGCGCGTGCGCGCTCGTTCCTCTGCTTCAGACTCTGTCCCCTCGCCTTCAGAGAAACGAAGACATATGTCGCCCGCTCCGGTCTGCCCATTTACTTTTATTTCACGCTCGAGCACCTGCAATATCGGAGAGACAGTCCACGAGTCCTAAAGCCCTCGGAAATCTCTCCCTCGGTTGAAATGAAATCACCTCGTCAGGTGCGTTTTTAGTGGAGAGGCGGTTGTTTCGATTGAGCGCTTAGTGGAATTCCTACCGTCACAATCGTATTTCAAAAAGAGGCCCTTTGACAACTGTCACGGGGAAGTGCTGGGAGTTGGAAGCTGATCGGAAGCCCCTCGGGTGAAGGACATGACGCGAGACCCCTCTGGTTTACAATCGATTCTTATGAATGCTTCCAGATGGCCGCTGCTTTTCCTCCCGTTTAGTTTGAGTGTCCTGTCATACGAGCGTTAGAGAAGTCTAATCTGTTGTTTTTCTTATACAGGAGGGGGTGGCGCACCCTATCCTTGTTACGGCGTAAGTTATGGACATCAAAGAAAAAAGCTGTCTGTGTGTGTGTGTTGTGCCTGGGCGTTTTTAGAAGCGCGTGTTTGTCTTCCAGCGGTGGAAAGAAGATTGAGGATGACGTGTAGGAAGAGCCCTGTGGGTGACTGATGAATCTTTCAACTTAAGAGTCCCAAATACAGAAACAAATCAAGTCTACCAACGGGGGGGGTGGCAGGAACTGTGGAGTTTTACGATATCTCACCTTGTTCATTACCTTCACATTGACATCGGAGTGTGAAGGCTCGATTTCCTCCTAAATTAGTCCCGGTTAAGTCTTTACAATTGCAGCTAAATATGACTGACGGTAACGTGTTGACGAGAGGGCTTCCACGTCCCACGTTGCGTCGTCTCCCCCCCCCCCTTTACCGCGTGTTGGTGTCCTTTCCCTCGGGCGGCCGGAAGCCAGTGGCTGCTACAATGCTATTAACACCCTGTGACTCATAAAACGGGCTCCAAACAAGCCCCGCAGCGGCGGCCTGTGCCCTTTCACGTGTCACCTCCTTGTAGTATTCGCCCTCCTCCCTCTCTCCTAATGTCCTCAGCTTCTTTTTTTTGTTTTTTTAACGGCATCATGCGGGACACCCCCCCTCTCCCCTCCACATGGTGATCGAGGGCTCCGCCGGCGTTGGCGCTGTGCTCCAAAATGCAGCATTCCCTCTACAACGCAGGCTCTGACAATGGCGGTGTTGCAACAGAGATCACAATTGGATAGAAGAACGTGCCGTTGGCCCTTTGAGGCCGATGTGGCAAAATGGGACGAAGCCGCTTTATTCACACGCTCGTCATGGCCGCCGATGATCGAATCGGGACTTTTCTTTGCTCATTTCAGACTAGGCTAATCAAGTCAGACTGTACTGTAATTGAGTAAGCCAGTGCCTCTTACGGTACGCCAAATAGATTTCATGGTTATTGGTCCAATGGAAAACACTTTAAATTCATAAGAAACAGAGGACACGTTGCTTTCGACGATGACTTTAATACATATTCGTTTTATGCATCACCCGCGTCCCCAAATCAGTTTGTATAATCAGACAAATTGGATAGATTGCAGCGTTTCGGTTGCTTGTCAAACAAATAACTCTGGAGTGTTTTTTGTGTTTGTGTGGCGGCGAGTACCAAATTAGGAAGGGAAAGGAAAAGGAGGAGGGGGGGGTCAGGAGACTCTGTGTGAAGGCAGTTGGCTGGGATCTGCAGTCACAGCGAGTGCAGCGCGTGAGACTGGAGCCTCTCTGCATCTGTGCAAAGTGTACCTTCTCTTCATAGATACACTTCCCACCTCTTTTATTCTTATTGTCCTGTTTCTTCTTTATAAGACCCCCGTTCGTGCCCCAGCTCGGCTGAGTTGGCGGTCCCCCTTTTTATGTTTTTTTATTTTTCCTCTTTCCTATTCCCACCCACGCTGTAATTGACTGTTCGCACACAGTCACTTTAGGAGGCTTCTCTTACCGACATGTGAGTCCATGGCTGTGAAATAGCGCACCCTGACCATCCTCCCCTCCTTCCCCCATTGCTATTTTTAAAACCAGCCATTGATAGTGTGGTGAGAACATGAATCCGGTCGGAGGCAGAGAGTAAACAGTCAGGGAAGTGGAAGGTTTTTAAGGTGGGATTATTTTCTTTATTAGTCATAAATGTGACATTAAACATTACAGCTATGAGCAGTGCAGATGTCGTCGGTAGAGGGAAGCCATATGCCGGCCATCTTTAGGAGGATGCCCCCTCCCCGCACTCCCGCGGCAGTGAGTGTGTTGAAGGCATTGCAGTCGGAAGGAGCTCCTGGTGTCATCAAAGCATAGCTACAGCTGGTTGAAGGGGACCAAATCCATTCAAGAGGTGATTTGGTTCCATTTTACCAGCTTTAGCAAAGCATTGTGGAATCGCTGTTTCAGAGACGGACTGGGCAGCGTCTGCGGTGGGGAGACCTTCACGTGGGCTCTGCAGCAGCAGAGTTAAATCCAAAAGGGCCCGAGACACACTGTGCAGAGAGACGCCGTGTTGCATTTAAACATCTTATTAAAAAGCTGAGATGTGCCCCGTCGCGCCGAGTCCACCCACCAGCTTGAGAGGACGGCGCTGCGTCTCCTCCTCTCTCCTTTCTGTTATCTCGCCCGTTCACCCTCGCCCACCTCGTTTTAGCCCGCCGCACGCCTCACACTACGCCAACAACACACGAGGTACCGTTGATCAACCTCACCTACCTTTCTCCTTTGCCACCTCCCAAAGAGCATATATTTTCGGGTCTATCTTTTAAGTTTTATGCTCGCCCCCCCCTAGTGAGCGAAGGGGAGGGGCGAGGGGGGAGGGGCCCTGTTCCCTGAGAAAAGGATAATAATAATCTGTGGCAGTGCACTTGAGTCAAATGTCCTGGAGTCATGAAGCAATTACAGGCTCTGACGGATGGGCCCTGCTGCAAACACGCCGCCGCTGCGGTCACCCAGACGGCCGGCAGACAAATGCGTAGGCACAACCACACACACGTGCACACACACACACACACACACATGTGCGCTCATGCTCCTACAGCAGCACTCTGGGGTGTCAAGTCCCAACATTAATTTAAACCAGTCATTTAAGTCCCAGAGACTGATTTGTAGTGTAGAGGGTACTGTTTGAACTGTGGCTTGAGGGCAGATTATTTATTATCTTCTCTTTCAGGGCTCAACAGAAGTATAGTATTGAATCACTTCACATACACGCATCATCACAGAAGCATCTTACTAAACCTTTGTTGTCTTTTTTGTTGTTGTTAGTTGTCGTCCTTCATGAGCTCAATAAACCGCTGCTACTATTAGAGCAACATCAATATTTCACTTTTCTTTTTCAGCTTTCATTATTATTGCTGGTTTAAATGTTCCTTTGACACTATTTTGCAAGAGGAATATGAAGCGCAGCTCAGCTGTTCTAGTTATAGACTTTTCTGCCAAGGCAGGAATAAGCTTCTCAGAGCGGCGAATGACAGCTGAGGGATTTAAAGCGCTGCTTGTAGACGGGATGGAGGTCAGTGTAGGGCCAGTTTGATATGGCACACCAGAGGCAGGTCTATTTGTAACATGCACATGCACATTCATGCTCGCTCACTTACACACACACACACACTCAGGGTCGCTCAGAGTCAGGTGGCCTGGCTGCTCACCTCGTCCGAGGTCCATAACAGGGCAAAAGCCGGGGGGGGACGACAGGCACTCGGCATTTGATAATGTCAGCATCTGCTGTGTTTGTCACTCAGACGGCCCGGGAGGAGCATGCAGCGCATTGCCGTGTGGTCCTAGGCGTGAAAGTGAGCGGCACGGAACATCATGCAGATGGGTCCAAGCGGTGGAGAGATGCAGCTTCAATAGGATCTTCTCCTAAAATAAGAAGGCATTTTCAGATATGGACTGAAATTTGAGAAAGCGATTTATAGACTCTGCACTATTCTTTCATCATGACTTCACTGCGTTTTTAACCATTATCATTAAAGCCAGGTGGAAAGAATGCCGATTGTCAGAGTTGGTACTGGTACCATGACTATTTATTTAATTGAAGGGGCACAGTCGGCATATTAATGAGAGAACCTTGTGCCTTGTTTTTCATCAGAGTAAAGCTGTCGTACTACACTGGCATACGCACACCTTTTCATCGCTCCACTGCGGGAGAAATTTGTAGACACTGATACATTCTAGCCGTCCACATCTAACAACATTTTTAAATAAATCTAATTTGATAAAAAGCAATTCATGTTTTTTTTTTGGTTTGTCAAAGCGCAAATCGTTGCGGTTTCGTGACCCTAATTTTGATCTAATTTGTTCCATGTTTATTGTTATTTATTTATTGTTCATGTAGGTTTTGAAGCTGCAGCCAAAGTGGAACAAATGACTTTTAGCAAAGCAGTGTTTCCACATTAAAGGGCTTAAAGATGTGCTAAAACGGGTCCAGGGATTGTCTGTTATCCAAGCACAAGCCAGAGAAGGGGTCAGAATAGGTGAAAGTGCCAGATATGAATAGCTCTCCATGCACCCCCCACCTCATTTCTCTCCGTGCCTCTGTCCATATTCTATTGCCTTTTATTTGTCTGAAGCAGTTAACAATTGGAATCAGCTGACTCTGATCCTGCATTGTCACTTCCCGATGGTCTAATCTGACTGCCATGCAGCCCAGCAAAGCATTTGGCAAGCATAGCAAACGTGAACAATGAGCACAGGAATCGGAGGAGGGGAGGGGGAGCGCGGGGCAGCCGGGGTGATGTTGCGGGGGGGAAGCATAAAGGGGGGGGCGTTTTTGTTTAAATTTGTTAACCGCGAACCCCTTTTTCCTCAACAATTTTTTTTTTTTTTTTTTAAAAGAGAATAAAGCGGAAAAATTTTGGGTAAATTTCCCTTTTTTTTTTCCCCCCCCCCCCCCCCCCCCCCCCCCCCCCCCCGTGTGGGAGCACTGGGGAAGATTATGGTATTACGCTCCGGCATGCCTCCCACGGCCTGCTGAAGTTGGTTCTAAGTTGCAGCTGGCGGAATGTCAAGGGCTGTAATGCAGTAAAATCACCAAATAATGAAAGGGGGCCCTGTTCCTGTGAAGATGTCACAAGGCCACTTTTTGCCCATAGTTGGTGTAAGTGGCAACTGGCGCCTTGTAACCCCCCCCCCCCCGCTGACAGGGGAGAATCTCCAATCACAATTGCTATCCTATTCCTATTATGCTAACTAACTAACGTAATTGCCCAATGAATTGATGGCACATCTTGAATGAGAGGATTTTATTGGCCAAGTCAGCTAGTTTTAGAAAGCAGTAAGTTCCCTACAGTGGATATTGCTGCAGTGAGACTGCCCAGAGACAGTATAGCTAATGCATGAGCCTCGCCACCTACATTCATTCTCTCTCTCTCTCTCTCTCTCTACTTTGCCTGCTTTTCTTCCCTCTCACGCCGTGATCACAGTCATATTAACAATCCGCACAGCACAAACATTTCCTCAGACGTCCTACATCATTTTCACAGAGCGAGGACAAGCACCCCACCAGGAATACATACTTCTTTACATTCCATAGCTATCATATGTTCATATGGGTACATAAAGAAGTATGTGCACCAAGGAGGTAATCTTAGGTGTGAAAATGTCTCACCTTTCGCCAAGGTCAGGAAGTTAGCAGCAGAACATTTCTCCTCACTGTCCTCTCCCCCATGTATGGTAGTCTGCACCGTAAGGTGACTTTGAGTGTAAATTCTGTTCAAGGCTTTTCCTTTGGTTGCCATGTAAGGCTGAGCAGCCAGTCCCCCCGCCCCTGAACATAACACAAGGTTTGCAGTCCATACCATAGTCGACGGTGCCGGAGGATCAGCCAGATGATACGGCTCCTTTTTTTTTTTTTTTTTTTTTTTTCACTGCAGTTAGAAGGTGGTCTTTTTTTCCTTCTCTCTTTCCAGGAAAAATGTTGAGGAGGTAGATTGAGGGCTCGGACGGAAGCGGGCAGCAGAGTTTTGTCCCTGACTGAAGTCCTCGGCGTCAGGTGCCTCTGTGCGCGCCTCGTCTTGCAGGATGACCATCATGCTCTGGACCGAGTGCGTCCCGGGAGCAGGGGTGCACCTATAAGCTGATTGGCCCCCCGCTGACACTCTAAACATTTTCACTTCCCTCCTCCCACTTCTGTTTCGGTCTGCCTCCCTCAACGCCACCTCGTTCTCCTATTTCGCCCCCTCCCCCACACCCCCCCCCCCGTCCTACCGCTCACCTTCTGCATATACGTAGCCGCCGCTCGTCTCTCTCTCTCGTGTCAGCAACGTCCCCAGAGGCGAGCCGGCAGCGCCTGCTGATGTTTGAAAACGAGAGCGATCCAAGTGGAACAGGAAGCTATTGTGAGCAGGCTTTGGGCTTTAGGCGCAGAGGCAGGCCATAGGTCACATGAAGGCATTAATGCCCACTCAGCACTTGTGGATTGGTCCTGACTATAGCCCCCACCACCACCACCGGCACCCGTCCGCCCCCCCCCCTCTCTTTCTCTCTCTGTACCTTGTTCTCTCATTCTCTCCACACAGAGACCCCCGTTTTAACTTTCATCACTTCACTTCTTTCTAACCGAAGCTCACCTGTCTGCCGAGGCGGGTGGAGCAGATCAATAACCATTTGCGCGGCGGCGAGGATTGTTCAGACGAGTCTCTAATGAATCTCTGCCCCGGACCAACACATTCCGCACAGTCCGCGTTGTCTCCAACCGCGCGCAGCCGGCCGGCGGGACGCGTGCTCGGGTGTAAAACAAACAAAACAAAACAAAAACCGTAAGGAAGAACGGCATGAATTTGAGTTTAGAGACTTTGTTGGCAGAGAAACGGGAAAACTGGTGCAGTGCTTTTTGCAGCGGAAGGTTTTGGAATAGCAATGAGGGGAGGGTGAACTGGAGGTGAAACGGGGGGAGGGGGCCCCGCCTCACCGGGGGGACCTTCTTTTTTAAAAAATCCTAACAACCCCCATTAGGGGAACAAATAAGGGGGCGGGGGGGGGGGGGGGGGGGATTTCCCTCTCCCCCCGGGGGAGGGGGGTTGGGGGTTTTTTTTTTTTCGGTTTGGGGCAAACCCCCCGCACCCCCGTGGCCCCCCCACCCCCCCCCAAACCTAAAACATTTAAAAAAAGGGGGGGGGGGGCCCGGGTTCTCCCCCGGAGTTTGGGGGGTTCACCCGGTAAAAAACTTTTTTTCAGCCATGGCCCCCCCCCCCCCCCCCACATCTGTGTTAATACACATCTCACAGCTGTGTGCCGTCAACCCCCCCCCCCCATCCCCTCCCTCATTCCCCGCCTCACAGCACTCCATGACCTGCCCGCTGTTCATTATTCTGATGCTTCGTCATCCCTTCCGGTCGCCACATTCCATCGTTCTGCCCGATATCAGCCAACCTTGAACTTAAAAGTGTGATTTGCCCTCAAACTTACCTCCCATCAATTTAGAATAGCAGTGACCCCCCTCCCACACCCAGCCCCTCGGTTAAATTGAATAGGGGGTTGGTAAGAGCACCAAAAAAGGACCCCAAAAGAACGCATTAAAAGTCCCAGTAATTATAGTATCCTTAGTCGTGGCGATGAAAAAAAAGCCATCTCGGAAGGTGTTGGACGCGGAGGGCGGATGGTCGGGGGGATGCCCCCCCCCACACCAGGTCTGAGGTAACAAGTCCGTCATTAGATAGCAGCAGGGCTGCAACCATGAAGCCTAATGAGCCAAAGAGCTCTGCTGCTGCAGCATGTCCGGCCAGTGCTGAGAGAGAGAGAGGGAGAGATCGGGGGAGAGAGAGGGAGGGAGGGAGGGAGAGAGAGAGAGTGAGGTAGAGAGAGAGAGAGAGAGCTCAGCAACTCCCCAGCCTCCCTGTTCCATCTCTTCCTGCATCCTTTTCCTCTCCATATTTTGTTCTTATTTTAACAAAAAAAAAGCAGCTTTATTTCTATCCTTCTTTTTAGACTAGAGGAACAAGAGAAGAGAAAGGGAACGCAGCGGTTGTCTCTGGTTAACTTCTGTCCCGGCGCTGCTGCAGAGCGCTGCATCCCACTCCCCCTGCGACTCTCGGGCGAGCCATGCGGTTAATAACGCATCGCATCCGAGGAGGAGAGCGCGAAGAGACGGGACGGGAGACGCCGAGGCCCGTCGGGGGCGAACTCCGTCCGAGAGCGGAGGAAGATCATATATTACCTGTCAGATCGGTTTGTTATCGGAGCCGCTCCTCCTCTCGTCTCTCTCCTCCTCTTCCTGTAGTGAAGAGAGCCATAATGACCTAGAGAGCGCTCCAGCTGCTGCAGCCATCGTGTGTGCCTGGTGCACGCCTGACTCGCTGAATCAGCTTCTATGATTGGGGGGAGGAGGAGGAGTGGGGGGGAGGGGGAGAGGGAGAGGGTTGAGAGCCAGAGTCAGGGAGGGGAAAAGGAGAAAAAATCAGACACGCACACATTCCCATACAAACACAAGTCCTACCTTTTTAGAAGAGGAACGCGTAGAGCTGACATGAAGAGCTGCCATTTGAAAAAAAGGGAGAGGTAGAAAGAGAAGAAGGGGGGGGTGGGGGTCTGCAGCACTCTCCTCTCCATCATGTGCATTCTGAGGGAGAAAGCTGGGAGGAAGCCCCCGGTCGGTGGAGGAGGCAGAAAGTGTACCAACCGTCCTCCCACTCCGCCGCTTCCTTATGACATCGACACGCACGCGTCGCCCCAGAGCTTCAGTCGGCTACTGAAATGCGCTTTTTATTATTCAGTGGAACTTTACACAGCAGCTTGCGAGAGGGAGTTTACTGAATAGGTTGAGAGCGCAATTGTCATCGAAAAAAGACACAGCAGAGCCTCTGCGGTAGAAGACAGCTGTACTTTTAATAGTCCCCTGTGGTCCACGTGACTTTGATTACCAGTGCAAGCGACCAGAGACAGAGGACATTGGAATATCTCTTTGGTATTTTTGGAGTTTGTCAATCTTCGACGAGCGCCTTATGCATTCGTAATAGTTCATCTCCAGGGTCACCTCTTTGCACAAGGCGAGATCAAGTAGAGAAGCTGCTGCAGTTTATTTTAAGGGGGGAGCGGGCGGGGGGGGGGCAGAGAGCACGGGACGAACACAGTTGCAGCAAACTAGGGACACTGAGGACCCCCCCCCCCACCCCACCCACCCCTCTCCCCTCAACGCAGAGGGCTAAGCTGAGCAGTTAGTGCTCTGCGGGAAGCCAAGCATCCGAAGCATGCGTCGGCCCCTGTTGCCGGGCTGCTCCTGTGTCTTGTCTCACCACCTCCCTGACCATATTTAGTCAGGCAGTGCAAAAAATAGTTCCCGCTACGCTCTGCTCCTCTTCTGGCCTCACCTCCCACTTGCACCCCCCCCCCATTCACCCCCCCGAATCTCTCTCTCTCTCTCTCTCCCCTCGGCAGCCGTTGGCTATGGGCTCCGGGAAGCCTCCCCTCCTGCTCCCTGCCTATCGATTCCAGCGGCCTGGAAGGAGAGAGGAGCGTTGGGCCGACTAGCGTCCGCTACCATTTGCTGCGCTATTTTTAGTAGCTCCAAATAAAGTGGTGTCTCGTGCTTCCACTTGGATAATCTTGATTTTTTTCCCCCTTCTTCCCTGCTTTGCATCCTTCACCAGCAGCTCCACCGCCTCCTCCTCCTCCTCCTCTGATAGCGCTCCTCACTCACTCTGTGTCTTTCCGACCACCCCGCAGTCGCTATCAGTCCTCTTTCCGAGTGGAGCCCAAACACGCTGCTCCCAGGAGCTCACCGCTCCACTCCGAGTAACTGCATGTCCGAGAAAGGGAGGCGAGGGGACGGGTGCACGTGCAGCGCAGAATGCGTTGCAGGAGTCATTCCCTGTTCTATTTATTTTATTTTTTAGGCTGCTTTTTGCAGTGCACGGAGAGAAGTGGCCACCCCGCCTCGGAGGCATTGAAAAGTTTGGGCCACATTTCTGCTTTTTGAGCTCTCATTAATTTCCAAGTGTCTTTTTCAAGCTTTCCCGAGGCGCGGCCAATGAGGAATCTGTTTAATTAGTCGGCCTCATCATGAGGCCATATCTACACTGTACGGGAGAAAAACGTCCTCTGTGACCTCCTATATCTCTCACTCTCCTCGCATACCTCAATGACGCCATATGAGACCTCTTGCTGTCCGCCGCGGAGTGTAGGCCGGCGCTCGCATAGAAACCGGCGGGATGCGGCGCGAGGCAGTTGAAGACGCACGGACACCCTCAGTACAGCAGGAACATCTGTCAAGTGTGTTTTCATGAGTCACCCGATTCTCCTTTCGCTGATTTGAAAAGCCTTTTAACAAGCTCCCCGTCATTCTACCCCCCACTCGCGGTTCTATGTCGGGCCTTTTTTTTTTTCATGGTGGAGATCATTTAGCATCAATTTAAGTATGCAATTTAATTAATGTAATGTCACTGCAATTTATAGCTTTTCTATTACTGGCTCTAACAGCTTTATGGCTGTTGCCAGAATTGACCATTTGCGAAGCAAAATGTATTCCAGGTTAATGTGTCGGCTCAAAACGTGACCTTATATGGCCCATCTAAGTGCAGAATTGCAGATATATAAATGGCCACTGAGAATGTCCACCTGTTATTGCCCTGAAGTCTCTGTTTACACACCGCTTATAATTGAATGTCCCGGCCGGCCTTAATTCCCTTCTGTCCGTAGCACCCGTCCCCCCCCGTGTGTTTTACATATCCCCCAATGGGTCTCCACCCTGCCGGTTGCAGCCACCCAACCCACCAGTTTAATCTCAATTACAACCCGACATCCCATCTGCCCCCGAAACTCGGCAGCGAGGCTTACATCTTCCCACCATGATGAATAGCGCGGGCTGAATGTTTGGCCGAGCAGTTAATCGATCAATAAGAAAAGGGTCGACTAATGGATGTGCATTCTGCCACTGGACGAGGGGGGCGGGGGGGGGGGGCGCGTGTTGTTCTCTCTCTGAGAGCTGCTTCAGACTTATCTAATTTGAAATTTACAAACAATTATAAAACAGATGTTTTGTTCAGAGGACAGAAAAATGTAACATTAATTACGCTGATTCAAAAGCTAAGATTTTTTTAAAAGCTTAATTCATTAATCTGAATCAAGCGTGATGCAACAACAAAAAATGATAATTGCTGCAGTCATTCTTGATGGTGTTTCCAAATCGTCTGTGGTCTTTCTTTACACATTTAAAAAAAAAACTTTTTTTTTTTTTC